TGCATGTTTACCTTATTCTGAGTATTTGTTGACATGAGGATAAGAAAATGTGTTAGCTTACCTTCTTTACTGCACTTTTTATTGACCATTAACATTTTTGTAATTTACCTCCCCCCCAGTCTTAATTGAGATACAGTGAACATGTAATTTGTGTCTTTTAAATATCAGAATCAATTTGCCACATATTTAGAATATCATATGTAATATGAATATGTTGGCTCAGACAAATTCTGTAATGAAAGTATATAAAGATCATATTACTGGGCCTCCCCCGTTGCACAGCGGTTGAGCACTGGGTTGTGAGGATGCCCACAGCCTCTGCAATGCCGGTTCAATTCCCGGCCACCGGGCGAGGGTCCCGCATGGCACGCAGACCTCTCCTGCTGCCCGCTGCTCCCCTCAGCAGTGTACTTCGTCATTCTGCCTGTTCTGCTCTCTCCGCTCTGACTCTGGTGAGTTCTCTCGCCCTCCCGCGCTTCTGACTGTACCCAGTGCTTGTATAAATAAATAAATAAATCTTAAAAAAAATTTTTTTTAAAAAGAAAAAAAAGATCATATTACTTAGGTGATCTCCTCATCCAAGATTGATTATGAAGAGTTAAGTCTAGCTCAGAACTGGCTACAGCAAGGAAGAGGAGCTACGGTGGCTTAAAGTGCTAAGCCAAGTCCAGTGCTAAGTGCTTCACTCACATGAATGGAAAATAATACTCATCTCAGCAGCAGAGATAATTAGTCTACATGTCTCAGCTGTTGGTGCATCAATGAATATTTGCTGAATGAATGAGCAAGAAGCACTATTGCAAATGTGGATCAGCCCTCAAGATGTACAAAAGTGACAAAAAGAAGGGGATATCACAGACTGTTAGTCAAGCAGCTCTCTGAGACTACGTCATGTTGTGAATGCAACATGTTCGACAGCATTCCTGCTGAGGAAATATCTTCTATGATGGAACAGGGACATTTCTTCAGTAAAGACTGCCAGAAACCAGTAGAAGGCTACCAGGGAAGCCAGAGGTGAGCTGGGAAGTTCGCCCACACCAGGGTCCTTCTGGCCTGCAGTCCAAGGCCAGAGGGGTAGTGGGAACCCACCGCCAGGGCAGACTGGGCGCGCAGGGAATGAGTCCCACATCACCATTTTAGAACAGGGACATTTCTTCAGTAAAGACTGCCTGAAACCAGCAGAAGGCTCCCGGAGGAGCCAGAGGTGAGCTGGGAAGTTCGCCCACGCCAGGCCCCTTCTGGCCTACAGTCCGAGCCCAGAGGGGGAGCGGGAACCCACTGCCGGGGCAGACCAGGTGCGCAGGGGAGCGTATCCCTATATTGGCATTTTAGAACAGGGACCTTTCTTCAGTAAAGACTGCTTGAAACTGACAGATGGCTCCCAGAGGAGCCAGAGGGGAGCTGAGAAGTTCACCCAAGATGCTGGCCAGTCCCAGCAACAGAGTGTCCCAATGCATACGGCAAATTAGAAAACAGACAGTAGGAAGTAGAAGAACCACACGCAACCTAACAACTCCTCAGGAAAAAAGGACACCACAAAAAGAAAACCACCCCCCAGATTGCAACGACAGTAACTTGGAAGAACTTCTGAGCCTTCCGGAAAGAGAATTTAAAATTGCCATGATTAAAAAACTGACAGAAGTCATAAAGGAAAACAATGATAAGGGAAAAATAATCAACGATCAGAAGAATGAAATTGAGTCCCTAAAGAGGGAAGTAAAAGAAATGCAAGAGATCAAAGATTAATGGAGGCACTAAAGAACGCTGGGAAAAGCAATGAAAGCAGAATAGATGAAATGGAAGAACAAATAAGTACTCTTGAAGACACAGAAACCTTGGGGTTACAAGGACCTGCTCAGCACAAGGACCTGCTCAGCTTGCTGCTACTGGTTTCTCCCCATCTTCTCAGTCTTTCAGTGGGGTTGGTGACAGCTGGGTCTGCCTTCTCTTCCTTGATGACATTGTTCTCTGCTTATGTGTCTCCTGCCTCCTCACTTCTGCTTCTCTTCTCCCTCCTGTACCTGTTGGCATTTCTTGTGTCACAGACCTATGCCTCTTCACATCTCTCTCTCCCTGGGTTTCTCATCCATCCCCATGCTATTCCATGCCAGTTGACATTTCTTTGGCCCAGACCTCTTCCCCGGAACTTTTACTTGGATGTTCAAGGACCCATTTCATATCTCTGTTGAATTGTGCCTCAAATATTCTAAACTCACATAGTCCAAACTGAACTCTTAATAAAATCTGTCAGAAGATTCCTATACCCTTCTTTTCGTCTGATAATATGACACATGCATCCATCTCATTGCTCAAGAAATCTCAGCTAGCCTTGATTCCTACCATCACAACTTCTCCTTAAATTCAATGCCAGTTTCTGTTGACAGTACTGCTAAAATACATTTCGGTGTCTGCACTTCTCCACCGTACCCCTGTTCAAGCTGGCACCAACCCCCACTCCCACCCTGGACTCCTGGTCTCCCTGTACCTGCTGTAGTCCTTGCACTCAGCTCCCCATGTGGCTCCTCTGCTTAAAAAACTCTTCAAGCCAGAGTAATCACAGGATAAAATCCCAAACTTGTACCTGGGCCTGTGATACCTCACAGCTTCATCACAAGCCGCATCACCTTTGCTGTCTCTCACTTCTCTCTTCTAACCTTGTTCTCTTCTAACCTCTTCTAACCTGTGTCAAGGTTATCACAACCATCTCTCCCACTACTCTTCACCTGGCTAACCCTCAACTCAGCTGGAGACCATGTTCCTAACACCACAATCTAACCTACACCCATATGTTGTTCTCTTTGATCTCAGTCTGTCTTTTCCCTCATGCATCACAGTTTGGGGTATGTGTTGTGTCTTCTACTGGACCCTGATCTGCTAAAGTACTAAGTCTGTTTTGTTCACAATTTGTCCTGCACCAGGCACATTGTGTACCACACAGACACAGGAAGTGCTCAGTCATCTTCCTTTGCCATCAAGTATAATGGGAGGGGACATGGGAATGACATCCCAAAGCACTGATGTCACAGCAGAAGACATCCATAGTGGGTGACTCACAAATGGGCCAGGTATTGCAGGAGTGGGGGAACCGTGCCAGTTCTTCTTTGCCTTGGGTGAGGAGATTCAGAATCAGGTCCTGCAGTGTTCTTCAGAAGAGTTGAAGCTCAGGTTGAGAGTGTGAGATCAGAAAGAAGGTCAGAAGTGGGCCTTGTCTCCCTCCCTTTCTCCTGCTTTTCTGACAATCCCTCCATCTCCTCTGCTGCTTCTGGTCTGACCTCGGGGCTAATCCAGGACAAAGTCTGCAGGAGTTATGTTGAGGGAAAAGAAAAAGAAACTGCTAGAAATTGCTACCCTGTGTCTCCCACCTATTCATTTGCTGCCCCTGGACACATTCCTGGGCTTTCGTGCCAGCTCCTGCAGAGAAATGGCCCAGAAGTTATGGTGAAGGGAAAAACATTGAAGGGGTTGTTGGGTAATGGGGAATCTTTATGCCCCCAGCTTTATTTTTTCTTATTAAAAGCAGTAAACATATTTGGCAGAACCTGGAAAACACTCTGCTGTCTCTGATGCTGCAGGTGAAAGGGCAGAGACCCTGGAAGAACAGGGCAAAAATAAGAAAGACAAGCCTGCTCAGGCCTGAATAGGCCCAGTGTTCACAGGGAGAGTACTGTAGGGCATATCTCTGCTGCCTGCCCAGAGACACCACCAGAGGCCCAGACTTAGGCCGTGCCTCCTGCATACTCCTTCCCAGGAATGGAATCCCCGATTCGCTGACTTGAGTCAGGAGGAACCTCCAAGTCCTTTTTCCCATAAAAACATAGCTATACAAAATAGTTAGAAGTAGCATGCTATAGATCAACTGTGGACCAACTAGGCCCTAGCCACCACATATGAAATCATTAATGAAGAAAAATATTCTTTAACTTTCAAGCAACAGATTTATAAATACAGTTCTTGGATATTTACTCAGCATGAAGTGCTGTGCTAATCTCTGCATGTATTACTGCATTTGATCATTTGATCCTTCTAACAACACAGATTCATAAATACAGTTACTAAATATTTATTCAGCACCAAGCATTATGCTAATCTCTGTGCTTGCGTTACTCCATTTGATAATTTGATTCTTCGAAGAATATTGCAAAAGGTACAGGCCCATTTCATGGATGAGTCAACTGAGGTTTAGAGATTAAGTAGCTTTCCCGAGGGATCCAGTTAGGAGGTGGTGTCTCTGGAACTGAAACCCAGGTCTGATTCCATATTTTGATCCACCATGTGCTTTCAAACAACTATTTCTTAAATTAGAGCCTGCGCTTACCTGAATATCTCAAGGTCACTTGCTATATCATTTTGGCTCACGCTCTTTTTCTTCCATCACTATACAGTTATCTCCTTTGAAAGTATTTTTTCTTTTTTCTTAAAGATTTATTTATTTATTTATTTATTTATTTATTTATACAAGCACTGGGTACAGTCAGAAGCGTGGGAGGGTGAGAGAATTCACCAGAGTCAGAGCAGGGAGCAGAACAGGCAGAAGGACCGAAGTACACTGCTGAGGGGAGCAGCGGGCGGCAGGAGAGGTCTGCACACCATGTGGGACCCTCCTCTGGTGGCCGGGGAGCAGCCGGGGATAGAACCGGGCGGCAGGAGAGGTCTGCACACCATGTGGGACCCTCCTCCGGTGGCCGGGGAGCAGCCGGGGATCGAACCGGCGCTGCAGAGGCTGCGGGCAGCTTCGCAACCCAGCGCTCAACCACTGCGCCACCGGGGAGGCCCTTTTTTCTTTTTTTGAGCATATCTCTAGGTGAGCTGAAGTGGACGCATATTCACATCATTTACAAATAGATATTTGGTAAATACTCATTGATCCCATAAATACTAACTGCTGTATGACCATGATGAAAAGCAGATTCACAAATTGGACTTGTTACTACATTTTGAACTCTCGATCTATTTTCAGTAACCCATCTCTATCTAAAATTTTGTTTATTTCCTCCTGAAAGGAAGAAAATTTCTCTCCCCACATCTGCTGTCCTCTGCCTCTGGCTTCGGCACCTTCCAAGCCTTGAAAAAGCAATGCTGCATCTTTTTGAAAAGCTATTCTCGGATGAGAGAAATGTTCTGAGAAGGATCAAATGCTTTATGAAAGATTCATTGCTGGTATGTACTGGGCTCTGATGAGGAGAAAAATCCTTAAAGTCAATGCGGGGTATCATATCTTCTAATCATAGCAAAGGAAAAAAATGTAAAGAAAAGAGCCATTGCAACCTATTAAAATAAATGTGTATCTACATTTTATTTTAAAACTACCTAAGTGAATGAAAAAATCAAAATCAACAAACGGCTATAAACCAGAGACACACTATGGGGGGGGGGGGATTGGGACCAAAATAAGGGGGGTGCAATTGTATGGGGAATCTAAAAATAAAAAATAAAATAAAATAAAAATAAGAAATAAAACTACCTAAGTGGGGGTTCGCTGGCCCGGAAATGAGGGGTGGGGGAGTTGGCGGTTGCATTTTTGGAGCCTGTATGAAAAGTTGGGAGAGATTCAGACTTACTTGATTGCTGCACCTTATGTTGCCTATTCACACGAATTGACATTTGGGCAACAAACTTTTAAAAACAGTATTTCTTATTTCCACATGAAAAGTAAGTTAAACCTTTCACTAGAGGAAAAAGAAAATAAGAGAAGCAAAACAAAATCCTAGAAAAAATGGTAAAAACAACAAAGAATTCTGTAAGTTTTTCTTTTGGTATAAGCCTGCCAGCCTTGATCCCTCTGTGTAGTGGCTCTTAGTCCAGCTGCCTGCCCCTCCCTCCCCCTGTCATATTCAGGTCTTCTCAGGCCTCAGTGGACTAGATGAACCCATGGTCTGATCCACTGTCAGGTGGGCCCAGGTTCATAAGGCAGTCCTAGGAACCTGACCAGCCCAGGTGTTTTTCCTTCTGTGGGAGACAGCTTAGAATAGGAACAAGAATAAAGGCCAGTGCACCCTGAAAATATAGTTCAGAAGCTGTGAGTGCCGTGCTCCCTGAGTTTCTGTCTGACAAGAACCTCGGTGGGCCCCCACGTGCTCAAGAGCACCTGTAATCTGGGGGAAATTTGGCACGGGGAAAAAAAATTAGAGATGGTGAACAGATCTTAAGTTGGTGGCTAGAAACTGGGCTGGAGCACACCCCCCTGAGTTTGGCTGAGTTCACACAACCCCTGCCTCCCAGATACCTTTTTAATTCAGTTGGAACTTGATATTTTCTTCTTCACTTGTTCTTTCAGTTGAGACTGTGTACTACATACGGGGATCAGAGTGAAATCCATTGCCTTATTCCTTTACCCCATTTCTTTATTTTGGCTTGGTTTCATCTCCACCAGCTGTCTGTAGCTATAGCCATGGGTGCTTTCTTTCTCCATGTTGAGGAGGCTTCCCCTGCTGAAGGCGGATAATGCTGCAGTCACCAGTAGCTGTGTTGCTTTCACTTATGTTACCTGTAAGGCACAAACTGAACCTAGCTGATTTGGAAATTTACAGTATTTGATAAGGGAAAAAAGGGAGAAAGGAAGACATGTAAAAATTGAGAAAGCCTGAAGAGGGTTTCTTTAAGGAAAATTATTTATTCATCGTTCAAAAGTTACATGTTTAAAAAAAAAAGATGGCTATTACATAAGGCAAGAAGTAAGAATGCAACTTATTTTAAAATAATTATAGTAAAATTCAAAATAACAAATGCTTTTGAAACCCCCTGACAGCCTTTTCTAACTATCACCTTTATTATCAGGAGATGTCTTTGTCTCTAACTTAAATGTACATGCTGTAGTTGAAGTGAATTTTCTCTGGTCCTTTAACAATTGCAAAATAAAGTGAGTTGTTTCCTTTTTTTCAAGGTTCTTGTTGAAGTTTCTTTAAGTCTTCCCCCTGTGGAATATTGAAAGGTCAAATTCCATTGACTTTTCTCGGTTTAATTCTGTAGCCTTGCCATGGTCCTTGTGCTGCTTCCTGAGCTTTCTCCATGCCCATGTTGCCTGTGACCCTTGGGCCTGCTCAGCACAACAGTAAGCATAGCCTGTCGCCATGCATGGGAGAGAGAGAAAGCAGGCATTCTCATTAAATATCTCATTGTATGACTTTCAGTCTCCAGTTTATAGCTTAAAATAATCTCCCCCAAGCAGTCAGTTGATTTACGAAAGCATTTACCAGGATTACATGCATAGAGATTCAGAGCTTCCATTATAGGTAAAGGGATTCCAGAGGGTGTTATGTGGTTTAATTTATTGTGGCATTGGCAGGATATGACCTTTCTGGGCCTTGCAGTTCAAGGAAGCAATTAGAATACAGAGCTGGAAGTCCCTTATTGGCGTAGGCTGTTCTCCTCAGGCATCCTGGGCCTGCAGTACAAGAAAACCAAGTGGAAGGAACAAGCCTGTGATGTGACTGGGTGATTAGGAGGGTAACCTGAAGAACCTGCTTCCTAATTGTATCATCTGACTCATTATCACAGTATAGTATCTCGGTGTTGTGACAGGGCAGTGCAGGAATATCAGAGAGATCTCCCAGACTTGGCTAGCACGGGGCTGCTGTTCTTTCCTCCCGACGAAACTTGATGCCTATTACATTAGAGTTGGATTCTGAGAGTAATTAAAGTGTGATGGTCTAGGTAACTTGTATTTTATATGGAGCATTGTTAATTATGTTTTCCATCTCTTGGGACTATTCAGAATTAGCCCTGGAAATTCTGCAGTTACCAAGATGTTGCAAAATGAAAGTGTGATAAAATAAAAATAAGTTTTCAGAACTTATTTGAAACTCACCCTTTGGCTTTCATGGGCTAGACTACTTCCCTCACTAAGTGTATGGCCACATGCCACATTTGCTGATCCCTAAATAAGTCACTTTACTAACCTCTTTTTGTCATTTAGTGTGTAGACTGACACTTTTCAAAAGCACATGACCTTGTGTTTTCTTTGACAGACAAGGTACTGGAAGACCATAATCCATAGCATCTTGCCAGTTATGCAGCTTTCTTGGCACTATTTAGTTGCCCAAGGCTGACCCCAAATCAGAAGGATGTTATGTTTTCCAATTACAATTCCATTTGTAGAACTCAGAAAGCTGTTGTTGATAGTCCACATTTGAATGAAAGGTGCCAGCTGGGTAGCAAGGTGGCACTGTGTGTGGCTGCCCTGTTGCACACCTGTCCTAGGACACACCCTGGTGCCCGGCCTTCCCGCGCACTCCTTCACTGGCTGACTCCACATACCACTTGCACCTCCACCTGGGGCCAGGGGAGCTATACCCTTGCATACTCAGATCCTTTCATGGAAGTGTAGGGAGCAGAGGAGGGAGAAGAGGGGAAGGGAGGCCAGACTGGTTTTAGTTTTCGTTTACTCAGAAAATTCTCCTGTGTTCTCTCCTAGCTGAAAGTTTCAATGCCCAATGAAAATTATTTATCTTGTCAAGACTCAGTAAAGCTGAGGGTGAGAGGGGAAATTCGTTCTTTACTTAATAAAAACTTCAGACTAAAGCATGTAGAGGGCCTCCCCTGGTGGCACAGCGGTTGAGTGCTGGGCTACAAAGCTGCCTGCAACCTCTGCAGCACCGGTTCGATCCCCGGCCACCAGTGAGGGTCCCACATGGCGTGCAGACCACTTCTGCCGCCCGCTGCTCCCCTCAGCAGTGTACTTCTGTCCTTCTGCCTGTTCTGTTCCCTGCTCTGGCTCTGGTGAATTCTCTCACCCTCCTGCGCTTCTGACTGTACCCAGTGCTTGTATAAATAAATAAATCTTAAAAAAAAAAAAACACACCTTTCTCTAATTATTTAAAAAAAATTAAAAAAAAAATAAAGCATATAGATACCCAGCATCCTCCTTTACCTCTCTGGTATGTTTACTTCATTCTCCAGGTAGCAGTCTTAGCCACTTCAAAAAGAAAAACAAACTTCCTTTACATGAAATTCCAATCAGTTCCCCTTTAATGAAAGATGATACTGAATACTTCACATTCTAGAGTTAATTCAGTTTTCTTTGCTTGAATAACTTTGTACTAAAGTTCTAGGGTTTTCTTTTATATGTTGTCATAAAGCACTCTTTTAAGTGTTTGTTTCTTAAACTCTTAAAGGTGATACAAGCAACGCAACAGAAAGCTGAAGTAGAGAACTGAGCAGTGGCTTTTGCTTGTGGCTCCAAGGTGGACACTGCATCTCTGACTGAGGTTGCACTTTCCAGAAGTGACCTCAGGGGGGCACCAGATACCCCAGCATTGTCTCTTGGCGGGGGAGGGGCGGGGAGCAAATGGCAAGTTCTGTTACCATGGTTTAAATTGCAGGACATTGCAACTTCTCAGAGATGAATGGAGAGAGGAAAACAACAGGTCAGAGACCCACCTGGTGTCGTGGCCTCTCAGTGGCTAAGTAGAGGAGCAGCAGGGGGCTGAGGCACTGTCTCCTCTCTGGCTGCACAGGCTACCTGGATAGGCCACTCAGTCAGGCTAGAAAGTGAAGATCTGAGGGATCTTGTTAAATATCCAGAGCCTGCATGCCTGCATCTTAATGCTGTTAGAGAATGTGGATAAATTTAAAACCCAAAGTACAGTTGGTACTTGTTAAGGTTTTCTTTTTTTAAGCACAGAAATGAGTTTTATCTTTAATTAAACAACAATTATATTATGGAATACTAAAAAAAGTTTGTAAATAACATGGTAAAGATTAAAAAGAAAGATTTTTTCTAAGTTCAAATTTGTTCAGAGAAACTTGAATGTTTTGAAACAAAATAGATCCTAAAATGTGAAAGGGATATTTACAGTTTTGTCTTTTGAAAGTAGAAAGTAGTAAAAAAAAAAAAAACTGTTTATAGAGGTACCTTGATTTACATTATGGATGTGAAAGTTTATTTAAGTAGATTAAGTAGAATTTAAACCAAGTTTTGTGAATTCAATAAAGAAGTTTACTAATGAAATGAATTTTATGAAGAATCATTTCTTAAAAGATTATGTACATATATTAATAAAAGGACTCCTGCCTATCGGGCACAGTGTCTCCGAAGGGTGGCTTACAACTGTGGGGTTGCTGGCTGGTGGGGAAGCTACAGTGAAAGCTTCTCAGTAGCCACTTATTTTAAAAAAAAAAAAAAAGTGGCTATTCCTGAATAAAATGTAAAACTATATTAAAATAGACTATGAGAGAGACTAGTCCGGGCTTACTGAGTTTCACATTCTTATCTCTCATCTGCAGTGTCCCTTTTTATTTTTTTAGGGAAAAAATTACCTATGAAAGGTGATTAAAAATAGGCTGGAGAATTGTTTTACACTGCATTTTTTGGTAAAAGACATTCACTTTTGTCTGTGAATTATCTCAAATCATATATAGTATCTCTTTCTGAATTGTGTTCTCTTTCTATCCCTTTCTATCCCTTTCTTTTTCCTCTTTGCCCCATGACCTTACATACAGAGAGAACAAAATTGCAGGAAAGAAAGAAAAGATTTCTTCCTGAAAATTCTGTGTTCTCAGGCCTCTTGCAAGTAGCAAGTGGCTTATAATAATCATTGACGAGCTGGGATGAAAATAATAGATGAGGGCCTCCCCGGTGGCGCAGCGGTTGAGCGCTGGGTTGCGAAGCTGCCCGCGGCCTCTGCGGCGCCGGTTCGATCCCCGGCTGCTCCCCGGCCACCGGAGGAGGGTCCCACATGGCGTGCAGACTTCTCCTGCCGCCCGCTGCTCCCCTCAGCAGTGTGCTTCGGTCCTTCTGCCTGCTCTGCTCCCCGCTCTGCCTCTGGTGAATTCTCTCACCCTCCCGCGCTTCTGACTGTACCCAGTGCATGTATAAACAAAACAAACAAACCAGCAAACAAATAAATAAAGCATGCCTCTATAAAAAAAAAAAAAAAAAAAAGAAAATAATAGATGAGACATCAAGAACAGAGGGCAAACATCACGGTGACAAACTGCACCTCATCTTTCCCCACACCCAAGCCGAGGGAATGTGGCCACAGCACATTGCTTCTGTGTGACTTTGTCTTCCCTTGCTTTGTTGAGGGATGGAAATAGGTTGTCCATTGAGGCCGAGCAGAGATAAACAATGCCGTTCCGGGAAGCTGTGGAAGAGGGTAAGGGGAAGCACACCCAGCAGAACAAGCTGCTCCTCTTATAAGAAAAGAAAGAGTCCAAAGCTCCTTGGCATCATCTTCCATTTGTCCTCTGACAATTAATGAAAGAACTGGGGGAACAAGCATGAAGAGGGGGAAAAAGGAAAAAACACATGCTGTTGATGGCCTCCCAGTGACATAGTTTTCCTAGACTTGAAATAATCTGTACATGGAAATCATTAGGCCAGATGGAAAAGAGAAGAAATTGAGAAGGAACAGATTTTGGTAGGATGGAGAAAAACAGACAAACAGATGGAACCTAAGAAAGATTTACTTTTCCTCATTTTTGGAGGCAAGACAATTGTGTCAGAGCTGGGTGTGCAGCACTGGGTTGTATAGTGACCTGGGGTGTGTTACCACAAGTCCCCATTTCACAAATAAAACATGGCAGAGAGGTGAGATGCTTGCCTTTTTCCTTACAAGGATGCTGTAAAGATTTAGGGGGCACAATTTATGGGCTTCCACAGAAGCTTAAGACTTTAATTCTATTTGGAGGACTCTCTGATAAGAAAAGCAGCTTTAAGTTTGCTTTTGTGAATTGATGTCATTGGGACACATGCTTTCCTATGAGCACTCGGGGCTTCGTGGTGGGACTCACTGACCCTAAAATCATGTGCTTGGGAAGTATAAAGACTCTCGTTTAAAAAACCATCAGTAAAGGCTGTGGAGGAGAAAGCTGTTCTCAGCCCTGGGGCGGCAAGGGGGACTGACTGGTCTTAAAACCAGACTCTGCCATTGCTATTTCAGCAATGTTCCCCTGCTTCCTGACAGCCTCCCTCTTTTAAAAACTAAACAAGTTGTGGAAAAACCAAGTCTGAACTATGTGGACAGAAAAGAATCTAAGAGGGGAGTCCATCCGTGGGCATGGAAAGAAAGGCAGATTCCACATGGTCTGGAGACATTTAAAACATTGATATGATTTGCATAAAAGAAAAGCATGTCCAAGCTCTAATCCTCTTTTAACAAATTGAATTAGAACTTTCCTTGCTTTGTGTGGTAGTCCTATTCTGCCTGTTGGATCATCCTTTTCTTTGAAATTTGGAAATCCTGTTGATAGTACTGAATGAGTTTTACTACCATTAAGTTTATACAGTGACTCTGGAGAAGTTAGAACATTTAGAACAAAAGGAATTTGTGATATTCAATTTTGGTCTTGTGTTCTCTCATTGAATTTCAGGCTCTGTGTATCTGTGTGCCTGTGGGCATGTGGCCATGCTCTTTGGTTTTAAACACTCTTCAAGAGACATATTGTCTATGTATAAAAATTGAAAAATTGTTCTGGCAAATTTGACAAATCACATTGCTTTAAACATGCAACTTGCCTTTCCCTTCTTGTTTTATCTTTCCATTATGAATACATAGAAGCTTTAATATTTGCTGGCCATATATCCAGTGACATCTTAGTAACTGTTATTACTTACAGTGAGACTGAGAAGAGGGATATTAGCTGATTTGCCTGAGATAAAGCCAAGAAACAACCTGCCCCTCTTCTGTTGAACCATGGTCATGTCATTACTTTCTTGAGCACATAATAAATTTACCTATGGTCTTAACTGGTTTCTATTAAATAAAAAATGCACATTAGTGAAGGATTGAGGAACATGTATTACTCTACTTAAAAGAGTAGAGATCTGAAAATCACAAATCTCTATTAAATAATTAAAAGGAAATCAGCCCATCATTTTAACAAGTCATGATGCCTTTGCCTGGAGTGTCCATCATCGCCTGTAATAGTGGCATGTTAACGCTAGATGGCACACGTTCAATGTTAGAATTCTGAGTGCCTGTGCAGTCTGGGAGTAAGGACAGAGTATGTGGAGACAGATCTCGTGCTGTTCTTCAGTGTGGTTCAGACATCTTGAGATGAAAAGCAGATCCTTCTCCTCCCCCTTTCTTGAGGGGGCTATGAAAACATGTGTCCCAAAGCTAGCTGTATCAAGTGTAATATAACTCAGAAATTTCCTGTCAGTATTAACTTACTTTTTGATGCTACTATAAAATATGTTCTAGAACACAAACGACATTTTCATGTGGCTTAATCTTATGCTTACCTGGTTCCAGCCCACTGAACCTCAACTTGGGCTACAGGAGACCATCAAGACCTGGCACAAAAAATATTCACACAATAAATTAGATATTCAGGGTTATAGTGTGTTTATTGGTTTTCACTGATCCTCTTTGAAGCTTAAATAACTAAGCTGCTAGATTCATAGTGTACTTAGATGTGATGTTATTTAGTCCATCATGACAGTGGTGACTGTTTTTCCTCAGTAATTTATATGATCGTGTATTCATTACCTAATCAACTGGGATGGAAAGAAATGGCTCAGATCTGACCTTGAAGCACTTCCACGTGGGGAGACCAGACACCCAGGCAGTTAAGTAAAAGTGGCAGCTCTAGGATCCTCTGTGTCTGCACTATTGCATTCTGGTGAAAAGTACTTTTTAATTTTCTATGACATTTACTGACTCTTTTCTTTCTTAGATCATACAGACTTCCTGTAGAAAATGTGGAGCATAAAGGAATATAAAGAGGAATAAAGCCCGGTTTTTAAACATCAGCAATTTTGACAGCTCATATGCAAGTCCTTATTGATGAGATGCTTGCAATTTTTGACTTTCTTTTGGTCTTTTCCTTTATAGCCTGAAGCAGCCTGTCACCCTGCTGTATTCAGAATTATTGATGAAATATTCAGGTAAATACTATGCTGTTTCTCTTAACAACTGATAAAAAATTGCTTGTTTCCAAATATGATAGAAAATTTTTTGGTAGCCTCTGAAATTAGAGTTTTTTTTGTTAAAACTCAAATGTCAGTGTATATTTAAAAGCCAGTGGCTGAGAATTAAGATAACTTTCTTTTTTAACCTTTTTCAAGTTCCAGCAATAATGGTATAAAAAGAGAATTGAATTAGATATTAAATCATTCACTAGTCATACAGCATGTTCTCAGCTCAAAATAATGGGTAGCAGTATACTCCCTTCACCACTTGAGGGCTGACCAATCTTTTTAAAGGATTGTAAAGGTAACAAATTTTATTCTGTTAATAATGTCATTCTTAACTGAGCTTGTTTGGCAGGCAAAATCAATTGTGTGTGTTATCTTATGTTAATTTTTACTTTGAAACTGAGTACTTCTTGGGAAATATATTGGATTTAGAGATGACAGGTGATGAGGAGAACACTGGACACCAGGTTGGGTTGTGACTGGCTGTTAACAGGCAATTGGATCTCCCTGGGGGAGCCTATCACCCTGAAGGGGTTTTTAACTTCTCTTGCTACCCACCTTTCCACCCTCCCCCGCCTCTTACTCAGCAGTGAGGTTTTAGGACAGAGGGGAGACACTGGAGAAAGGAATTTTTACAACAGCAAATAACCCAACACTTGGTTTGCTCTTGCAATATAGCTACTTTAAGCTGAATGAGCACAGAAATAAGAAGGCCGAGTAATGATTTCAGCTTAAAGCTAGCAAATTTTAAGTTGCTTTTCGGCTACATAAATAAAAGTCAGTTCTGTGAAAATCCATGAAAACCAAACTATACAGAGTCCTCCACCACTTTGCCATTTCTCCCCTTTGGGCAGCTCTTTCTCCACTTACCAAAGCAAAAGGTCTATTGTTCTATATCCTGGCAAACTGTGCAAATACTTGTAAACAGCATTCAAGCTTATGCCAAAGGGGCTATGCAGTGCTTAGTGATATAAACACCAAGAAAGGGAAATCTGGATATTGTAGTTTTAAAATATTTAAGAAAGGAAGTGACAGATTTCTCCTGCTTTTACACAAGTACTGAAATCTGGTGAGCTGAGGTATTGCTGAAACCTGTGGCACAAAAATAATGTTGCCCCCTTTAACAATTCAGGTTGATATGTTTGCCAGGTTAAACATTACATGTGTTGTGATCTGGCTTTGCATCGCTCAGGTCTGTCCTCCTGGAAACCGATGGTGCCTCAGAAGTTCTAGCCACTATTCAGGTGTTCACATGGTGCTTTGTAGAAGCTCTGGAAAAAGAAAACAAGCAGGTTCGTTATAGTACATCTATTATTCACACACACCCCCATCCCCAAAGGGGAAAAAAGACCTTTAAGAGTATTTGGCTAGGGCCTCCCCGGTGGCGCAGCTGTTGAGCGCTGGGTTGCAAAGCTGCCTGCAGCCTCTTCAGCACCAGTTTGATCCCTGGCTGCTCCTCGGCCAACGGAGGAGGGTCCACATGGCACGCAGACCTCTCCTGCAGCCCGCTGCTCCCCTCAGCAGTGTGCTTCGGTCCTTCTGCCTGCTCTGCTCCCCGCTGTGGCTCTGGTGATTCTCTCACCCTCCCGCGCTTCTGACTGTACCCAGTGCTTGTATAAATAAATAAAAATAAATCTTTAATAAAAAAGAGACTATTTAAAATGTTTTTTAAAAAAAAGACTCAATTCATTAAAAAAAAAATATTAAAAAAAAAAGAGAGTATTTGGCTAGTTACCAGAAACAAGCACTTCAATTTCAGTGATTTTGATAGACTTGTTTTTGCTGGTAAAGAAAGCTTCCTTCCAAATGAATGTCCTAGCAAAGTTAAAGCCATTAAAAATAAATCATGGTAGTTCCTATCTGCTTCATGCCCTGGTCCTCAGAAGCCTTTTATACTGTTGTGTCCAAGAAGTCTGTCATACTTTTGCTATCCTGGAGGTTGCCATTTCTGGGCTTCTCTAGGCCAGAGCGAGGCATTCTGAGTTTATATGGGATCACTAAAAGGAAACACCATTTAGTACACACGATACTGGACATTCTTAATTATTAGAGTTTTCATTCCTATCAGAGACTCAAATGTGAATTGAATTCAGGGGGAGACAAGGCGGTAGTGAGACGACCAGGGAAGATCAGATAATGGTCGTGAAGGACTGGGAATGGCAGTGAGTCAGACACTGGACATGGTCAGTGAGCTGAAAGCCTGCCTGGGGCTGCGGAAGGACTTGCACTTCAGCACCATCTGTAGAGCTGGCAAGGCTGGCAAGGGCCCAGGAGCACCTAGTGACTCTCAGCAGAAACCTTCACTACCAGTGGACCTTTGGTTTCTTGGGCATTTTCTTGGGCCTGCACTTGTATGATGCTTTGCTGTTCATGTGTCCAGGTCCCTGCTGCTCCCCATAATGCATGTCATGGTCCCCCGTGATGCTTTCTGCAGTTTGGCTTAGGAGGGCAGTGTTGTGATGCTCAAATGCCACATACTCCTAGGCCAAAGAAACCTCCCAGTTTTTCACAGATGTTTCTTCTTACAGCAATGATAAATATTTATGATGTATTTTTTCCCATCCTCATTTTCCCTAGGGAAATTAACTAGACTGTAGCAAACAGAGTTATCAATGGCGCCCAGCCTGGGACTTGGGACCTCTCCTTTGCATTGGCTGGCCCTCACACTTATTTGAAGCATAATTCTAAGTATCTTTTATCCTCCCTTGTACATTCTTTGTATTCCTCATTAGAACCCCTTCCCAAAAGCTTCCCCCTTTGATTTCTGAAACACATCTAGGTTGGGTGGATGACACTAATGCTCTGTAGCTCTAGTGTGAATTTCTTTTTCTTATCAGCTGTGTGGGCCTGGGACAACATAGAATATTATATTACATTACATTACATTACATTACATTACATTACATTACATTACATTCAGACTGGAGTTTTAGTCACTTCCAATTTTGAATAGTGTGCTGACCAGACCTGGGTACAGCAAAAATTCAGAAAGAAACACCCTGGGCTCAGAATATGTATGTGCAACAGTTGCCATTTGTGACAACATGGATGGAGTTGGAAGGAATTATGCTAAGTAGAATAAGCCAAAAGGAGAAAGACAAATACTGGATGCTGTCATTTATATGTAGAATTTAGAGAAATCAAACAAATGTGCAGATAAAAACCAAACCAATAATAAACCCTAGAAATCTGTAGAATTGAGGCTACCAGAGTGGGAGAGGAAGGGAGAAGGGTAAAGTGGGGGGGGGGGCGGGGACATAGGTAGTAGAGGACTATGGGTGCCTTGGTGAGTTAACATACCACCTGAAAGATGTGATCTTATACCTCCGAATCATGTACAGTGTTGTAAACCAGTTTTATATTAATCAATTAGCTAATTAATTAAAAACAAAACCAAGAGGTGCTGTGGGGAAAGTGCAGATTCTGTCTCAACTCAAAAAACAAACAAATAATACATGTGACCTCCTACCTTTGCTGTTACCTTGTACAGTCATACATTACATTTGTTATGTTGTTTCTCTTCCTTAATCAGGCTGTTCCTGATTACCTACCTTTCTAACTCAACTCCTGCTCTTATCGTAGATCTCCTGCGTTGATCCCATCAGTCCCCATTTTTAAATTAGTCATAATCCTTGATGCGTAAAACCTTATGTGCTGTTGGGCCCACGCATGACCCTCTTTATATGTTTGTTCATTCATGTGTTCATTCTTAGTAAAATGAATATCTGTAAACCCCACACCCAAACCAGACCCGCCCACTGGTAACAACATGTATGTGGCCATATGCTTGTCCTCTCTGTCACCTTGCCTTTCTCCCCAGGTAAGCACCATCTTGAATTCAGGTTTGTGGTTGGTTCTTTCTGAAAATAGTTTGACCATATATGTATGATTTTTTAAACTATGATTTTTGTTTTTTGCTTTTTTTTTAACTTTCAGTTGTTTTTGTACTTTATAAGACAAACATCAAACAAGAGTAGCATACTATGTGGAGTCTTTTGAGCCTTTTCTACTCAGCATATCACAAAGAATGCTCTGTGTTGTGTATGGCTGCTGGGATATTGGAAAAGTGTGCCACAGTGTAGCCAGTTTCTTGTTGGGGGCATTTGGGTTGTTTCCAAATTATAAACAGTGTTTCTCTGAACATTCTGGAAATAAATTTAGGAGTAGAAGTGCTGGCTACTTGGTATAGGAAGGCTCAACTTCTGTAGATGCTGCCAAATTGTCTTCAAAGATGGTTGTGCCAATTTACACTCCCCAGAAGTTTATGAGAGAGTGCATTGATCTGCATTATTTTGTGTTTTCAGCAATTTTTCTTTAGTACTCATTCTTTTCTCCTCCTTTCCTTGTTTTACTTGAAGAGCATAGCTCCATCAATGTGCCCAGTCAGACTAGTAAGCAAAAAACTTCAGGATGTCATGATAAGCCACTTGTTCTGAGCTTGCACAGTGACTCAGTACAAAACCAAATCTGTTCAGGTTATGATTTCAGTACTGATAGTGTACTAGGCTAAATTTCCCGACAGAGAAAATTTTAAATTCTAGACAAAGTCTCTTTCGGAGAGCAACTGAAAAAGCAAATGGAAACTAGAGGGGATTTGGCCCTTGGAAAAGGAAACCACATCATTGATTCTTGTAACTTTCCCCTGAGGTTCTCACCTGAAAGATAGGAAGGGGGTTGACAGTGTCAGGGAGAGGCCTGAGCTCAAGGTGCACACTTTGATTGATTTGAGGAGTCAAGCAACAAAGCTGTGGGCTGCCAGTGAAACAGCAACAAAAAAAAAAAAAAAAAAAAAGGACAAAGGAAAGCTAGTATCAATTATGTTGAACATACCAACAAACACTTTATTATGAAAATAAACTAGATATAGTAGTAAAAAGGCAAAAATGTTAGATTGCGTGAAAAACCAAGACCCAAATACATGTTGTTTCAAGAGACCCATTCTAATTATACAGATAGAGGTAAAAGAAAGGAAAGAGATACATTATGCAAATAATAAGCACAAGAAAGCTTGTATGACTCTACTAACACAAATGGACTAGATTTCAAGAGGAGGACATCCACAGAGATAAAGAAGGATTGGTTTGGAGGGCCGGGGTGGTGTTTGTTTTGCAGTAGCTTTGGTTTACAGCACTATTTGTATATTAGAAGTATAGGCTCTCCCCCTTTGTGTTGTTACTACACCACATCTACCCCAAGGACAACCTCAGTCCACCACCGTAGTCCGCTGTGCTCCCTCTCCCTTCTTGCACTACCCCCTGTCTTTCCCCTTGCCCTTCTGGTAGCCTCAGTTGTATAGTCAACTTTCTAGAGTTCTTAGTATGGCTTTACCTGACCCTTTGTTTGATTTCTCCATAGTACACATATATGTGACAGAAGAGGGACATTTTAGTGACAAAATGATCAGTTCACCAAGAGAATATCATTTATAAGTGGATATGGACCTAATAACAGAGTGCCATTGTACATGAAGCAAAATCTGACAATGAAAGAAATAGATGAGTCCACAGTCACATATAAAATATGTAAGAGTAAATTTAGCAAAAGGTATAAGACCTCTATATTGAGAACCAGAAAATACTGCTAAGAGTAACTAAAGAAAACTGAAACATACTAAGAGAGAAACCATACTTATGAATTTTTTAAGATGCCCATTCTTCCCAGATTGATCCATTGCTTCAATGTGATCCCAGTCAAAATCCCAGCAGGCTTTTTAAAAAAGAAATTGATAAGCTGATTCTAAAACATATGGAAATGAAAAGAACCTACAGTAGCCAGAACAGTTTTGAAAGACAGAAACAAAGTAAAATCAGAGGAGTCATACTGCTTTATTCCAAGACTTTAGGTAAGAGGATAGACATAGGTCAGTGAAATAGAATATATCCAGAAATAAATGTGTATATACAGTCAACTGGTTTGTGACAGAGAAGGGAGAGTTCTCAACACATGGTGCTGGGACAACTGGATATCCATATGGGAAAAATGAACCTGTGCCTCACAAAGCACTGACATTAATTTGTGATGGAACATAGACTTCAACTTAAATGCTAATGCGACGATGTTCTTAGAAGAAAGCATAGAATGGCTTTTTGATGTTGGAATAATCTAAGATTTCTTAAAAGAATGCAAAGAAAGTGCTGACCATCCACCCAAATGGGTAAATTAGGTTTCATCAAAGTTTAAAACTTCTGTTCTTTGATATCATTAAGAAAATGAAAAAGCACCACCAGCCAGGAAAAGATATTTCAACACTTATATCTGACCGAAGACTTTGGTCCAGAATATATAGAGAATGCTTGCAACTCCATAAGAAACAACTCAATGTTTACTTTACTTTTTCTGAGAAACAACTCAGTTTTTAAAAAAAATACTTGAATACACACTTCAAAAAAGTAGGTAATAGACATATGAAAATTACTCAAAATCATTTGCCATGAGGAAAAATGCATAGTAAAGTCATATGACATATCATTCCATAGTCACTAGAATGACGAAAATCACTAAGATTGACAATACCAAATGTTTGGAAATATGTGGAGCAACTAGAATGTTCATAAATTGCTGTTGGGAGTGTGAAGTGATACAATCTCTTTGGAAAACTATGTGGCAGTTTCTTATAAATCAACACCTGCTCTGTAACACAGTATTTCCATTGCTATGATATCTATCCAAGTAAAAGAAAATCATATGTCCACAGTAAGACATAAGTGTGAATGCTAGTTACAGCTTTATTCCTAATAGCCCCAAACTGCAAATAATTCAAATGCCCATCAAAAGGGAGACTGAATAAATAGATTATGCTATATTCAGAAAATGACTGCTTTTAAGCAATTAAAAAAAAGAATAAACTGCTTATGAACATTACATGGATGATTCTCAGAGAAAATGTTGAACCAAAGAAGCCATACACAGATGAATACATACCTTTATGATTCTATTTGTATGAAATTCAAGAATCAATCACACAAACTAATCTCTTACTGAAATCAAAATATTGGCTGCCACAGTGAGATGGAGGAATTGACTATGATAGCCACAGGGAATTGACTATGATAGCCACAGGGAACTTTTGGGGGTGATAAAGGTGGTCAGTGTTTTTCAAAATGTAAAATTGTACATTTAAAATTAAAGTCTGTGCACTGAACCATTTCTAGATTTTACCTTAATTTTTACAAAAGTATTTCAAAGCTCCTGTGCCTAAAGCATAAATAGCTTTAGCGCTTTGATCCACAAAGTAGTGTAAAGTACTGTGGTTGTTTTATGCCTTTTTGTTGTTTTTTTAAATAAAAGGTGCTGGAATATCTACCATCTCACAACTGTGTGGGAAGCTGTCAGTTAAAAAAAGATTTACATGTGTAATTGGGTTCATGTTAGGATAAAGAACATCAGGAGTAAAACTTTATTTTCCTAGTTCCTATAAAGTGACTGTAAAAAGATACATTTTTCTGAAACATATTTACAAGGTTATTGGAAACACCTTTTTAATTAATTACTTGAGGTAACAGTGGTTTACAACATTGTTTGTGTTTTAGAAGCACAGGCTTTCCCCCTTCAGGTATTGTTACCACATCACACCCACCACAAAACACCCATAGTCCACAACCATAGTGCCCTGGGAAACATCTTTTTTAAAAATATATTTTAAGAAAACATTCTCACTGTGTTAATACCAATAGGGCTTTTTTTTTCCCCCCATAGAGGATGCAAGATTTTGTATTAACACCACTTCCAATCATAACACTAATGTGGTTTTGAATTTTTGATTCTGTTATAGCTTAAGTTTGCATTCAGGACCTACTTTCCTTATGCTTCTCCATCTCTTGTCATGGTGCTACTCCAGTATCCAAAAGGTATGTGAAAGTTGATTCTGCTCCATATTAAAATAATTTCTTGGCGAAAGCAGTGACAAATCATAACCTTCTCTCCCAGTTTCTTATCTGTATAATGAGAGGTGGAATTGGTCATTTCTAACATCCTTAAAGTTCTCAGATCCTATAGATTTTGATATGAGAATTTGACTGACTTCCCAATTATGATCACGTTTGAAAAAAAGGAAAAATGGCCTCCAGTTAGATCTTTCTTATCTGTTCCAGTAGCACAAGGCCTCTGTGGTACCACCCAGATCCACCTGAACAGGCTAATACTTGGCTGAGTTAGATTAAAACAGTACATTTACTTGTATTTTATTCTTTCTATTTCATGTCCTTTGTTGCAGAACAAAGGATCAAATGATGAATGAAGCCAAGGAAGTGTCAGGGAAATTTCTTCTGGCCGAGTTAGATTAAAACAATATATTTACTTGTATTTTATTCTTTCTATTTCATGTCCTTTGTTGCAGAACAAAGGATCAAATGATGAATGAAGCCAAGGAAGTGTCAGGGAAATTTCTTCTGACCAAAGCAAGAGAAGGTGTTTGAAAGAATTCAATAGGTGTTTAGATCAGTCTTCTGTAGACCGTGTCCAACAGGAGAAGTGATGTTCCAACAGGTGCTCATCCATTAACAGGCCTATGGACTTGTGTTTCAGAAACATTTCAGAAATATAGAATAAAGGCATCCTTTCCCTCTAAAGCCTGAAATCTGAAAGAAAGACCATAATGACATAAGCAGACTCCATGACAGAGAAGGACTTTTAGCTGACCATGGAAGGAGGGAGTAAAAGAACCAGTAACATTTCCTTTTTATGCCATTTTTAGTCCGCTTTTCCCCCAAGACTTAAGTAGATTACCTGGAGGAAAGTAGATCACCGTTTCAGAACATTTTACAAAATCTAAATTCCACTTTCTTTCCCTAAAGGATGTAGGTTCTCACTCACTGACCCACCCAATAGCATCTCAGATACTAGAGGTGGAGGTTATGGTACCTTGCGGGGGGTTCATGGTCAACAGTCCTGTAACAAAGGGGAAATTTTAAGAACAAGACAGAAAAGCTGTAATTCATCTTCCAGGAACACTAATGCAGTTTCACTCAGGACTGTAATGCCTAAGGTCAGTCTCTGAGTTCCAGAAAAGGTATTGAAATTGTTATTTGTTTTAGGTTTGTAAATCTACAAACAAAAAGCTAAGGTATTGTAGGAGCATAAACTCAGCCTATTTATCTCTTCCTTTATGTGATCATCCTAGAGATATGTCCAAAACAAAATAAGTCAGTTCAAGCAACAGAACAAGAATTGTTCTTAGTTCCTAGAACAGTTTACTACATATTACTTTTAGGAAAAAAATGAACATTATATTCACAAACTAAAGTGTTGTTTAATAGCATAACTTTCTATTCATCAAAAATTAATTTTGTGCTCACTGTAAAGTCCTGTGAGGCAAATAGGATGGATAACTTACAGACTTCGACTAGCCAGGAGTCACATGCAGAGTGTACAGAAAGTGAGATGTGTCTAAACAACTAATACAAAGTAGAAAACCAAACATGCCTCCAAAAGGTTTTGTGTCAAAAGTTCTGGGAATTCAAGGAGGGACAAAGAAAGTCCAGGATTCTTTCTTCTGTAACATTTGTGGAGTAGTGGTTACTCTGTTACTTTATCTTTTTATCTTATGTGTTTAATTATAGAATCTGTCACTTCATGAAAATGTAATAACCTTTTCAGATGTTGTTTAGAACTACAGATAAACATATGCTTACATGTGTTTAAAGCCATGGTACAATTATGAAATCAGAAAAATGAACGTAAGACATTTGTTTGTATGATACATATTGTTTTAATCTCTCTTTTCATAAACCTGCAGTCATGTTCTTTACTGTTTTATTACAGTCGCCATATCCTTTCAAATCACAAATTATTGGTGGTAGAGGGGGCATGGGTAGGTAGAAAGGAAAAACCCTGGGACATCTTCACCAAGCATTTCTCAGTTGTGGGGCAGACTGCTTAAGTGGTCTTTGTGGCCTCAGTATATCAGAGTCAAAGAACCTTGACGTTTAGCTCTAATAACACTGACAGATCTTTCTTCCCAGACCTAAGAGATGGATACTGGCTGGGAATGTGAGATTGGTTGTGTGGGTTCCATGGACTGGAACAAAAGGCCTTTCCCTGAAACTCGTCTGGTCTTACCTACAGATGGTTCCTAATAGGTTTGACTTTTTTTGAGTTCCCCTGTGATCTCTCTTGCTCCGCCTGCAGATACCCCGCAGGCGCTTTGGCTCCAGCCGCTGAAACACATTTCTGACCTGCTCAGAGAAATAGTTGAAGAACAGTCTCATGGGTAAGCAAACACAACAGTTCCTAGGTCTGCTTGAGATGTGGTTTCTCGTGCTCCTTCTCTTCTCCTTGAGCGGGGCTTACTGAAGAAGGCCTTCTGCCCCTGACTACCCCCACGCAGGTGAGCACACTGCTGTGTGAGAAGCAGAGCGCGTGCTTGACCCACTGGGCAGCTCAGAATCAGCAGGCGTGCAGCTGTGCGTCCCTGGCATAAAAACTCTCTGAGTGATGCCTAATGTCTAATAGTAGATTCTGAAATATACAAGCATAACAACAAAAAAGAATAGACCCAAGGAAAAAAGTAGTGCTCATGTGTTGAGAAAACTGGTCCTTTCATCTCCTCTCTGCCCTTCTAGGGGAGGATGTGCTATTTGCACACGTGGAAGTGGTTGTTTTCCTCCTGTTTTAAATGAATATTTGTGTAAAAATAGAAGATTCATTCTAACAAATTAATTTCTAACTTTCTGATATTAAGTCCTCTCTTATGTATTATTTTCTTTAAAGCACTAACAGTTAGGCTTTGCTCAGTTCTTTGTAGTGGAACACCCTTCTGCTCCCTCTTCCTGCCTTGTTTTCAGAGTATTTTATTCTTTCTGTGCTAACCTACTGGGTTAGCCCCTTTTCTCTCGTGACACTCCGAGCTCCCAAACCTCACAGAATTGGTTGGTGCTCTTGGGTTCATGGTCATGATGCAGGTTTGGGCGCTAGCTACCCGCTCTTCCCCCCACCAAGATTCTTACTAATAGAAGAGACAAAAAGAATTGGCTACCAAGTGGGGTTCAGAGTGTTGGCCATATTAACAACTGCAACACCCTGTCAGGCCCTTACATTCCCTTTCTGGTTGTCTCTGTCGAAAAGCAGGACCTAGATCCCAAACCTCTGCCTACCCTAATTTTGACTTAACCCAGATGGATTGAGGGGCCACATCAGAGGCTGGGGGGCAGCCTCGACAGGTTTGCCACTTCCTGCCTGGCATACTTCGTTACTAATGGGTTAAAGAGGCAGTGGCCAAGCCTATTTCCACAAGGCAGCCATGAACCTGATCCAGGAACAATGACCCATGCCTACCTGGGTGCAGAAAGCTTGAGAGCCTGACTGCCCTGTTTATCAGCCATGGGGCCTGCAGGGAAGAGACCCTGTGGAGCACCTTTCTGGCTTGAGACATCGTCATCCAGCCCCAACTAATACAGCCCATGGAGCACATTGGCTTGCCTCTAGTGAGGTCAGGTGATTAAGACGACCCCGCCCCCTTCCTCTTCTTTCCATTGTCTGCAAGCTAGATTCAGAACACCTAATCACTTTTCTCAGGGAAGATATGGACAATGACCAGGATTGACCAGGACAGTGCTTAGAGCTTGGGAATCCCTTGGGCCAAGTAGAGGAATTTGGACTCAAGTCCACAAAGAGGATGCTTAGAGCTCTCCTGTTTCAGGAGCTTCCTGAGTTCCGAAGAAAAGTTCTGGTCTAACTTGAGCTCAGGCCAGTCCTGCCCCATTTTCTTCAGGGGAGATTGTTAAAGTGCTGAGACTGTCACTGTGCTTGATTAATGACTCCATACCTCAAATAGATTCTGTCCTTCAAACAATTATTGTAATTCCACATCCCCAGTGGGACAGGATAGCTTCACAAAATCTTTAATCTTTCAACATTAATCCACATATGATGACAGGAAAGGGTATACAATTCTTACAAAATTTTTAATGCTGAAATGCCAGCCTTTTTTGTCAGAAGAGAAACAGCATGTTTCTGGCTGTGTCCCTCACCACGTCTTCATGTGGCCCCAGGCAGCCCCTCAGTTCTTGCTCTGGAGCTATCTTAGTGGCTGCCTGGTGGCAGGGAGACCTCATACACAGTAGTTGTGCTGTGTACACCACACTGAAGGCAGAGCAGCAATAGCAGGGTCTCCTCTCACATCATTCTTATTGGTCAAGGGCCAAAATCTTCCTTTCTCAAAGACCTGTCCTCACTCAGGGTCCCCGGATGTAAAGCTTTAGAAGATTGACGTCCTTGGGGTACCTGGGGTTTTGAGAGTCTGCCTTTGAAGGTCCTGAGATGGGTTCAGAGTGGCATTCTGAGCTATTCTGAGTTGAACTTGTGCTCTTTACAAGTTGTACTTCAGTGGGTAAGAACAATTTAAGCCAACCATTTGCAAACATTACAGTTGCTCTAAGAAGCGAAAAGAAAAAGAAATCATGTTGTCTGGCTGCCATGTGTTTTGGTTCTGTTCCAGGTCCTACGGAGGCCCCTTTGAGAACTGGTTTTTGTTCATTCACTTTGGAGGATGGGCTGATATTGCGGCTGAGCAGTTGGTGATGTCAGAAGCTGAACCCCCCGAGGCCCTGCTGTGGCTCTTGGCATTCAACTACAGCCCATGTGACGGGAGTCAGCAGAGAGCACAGACCATGGTGGGTGGTGTTTGGGCTTGGTCTTCCAAGTGCTTAGAGGGTCCTTCATGAGGGGCCTGTGCTATGGTTGACTTTTATCTAGCCCCTGCATCCCCAGACACATAAGCACCAAGACTCCCAGATTCCTTGGTTGGGTCAGGGGCAGGGACAGTGAAGCTGGTAGTTGGAGACATTGTCCTGCCTTCACAGAGTTGACTGGAGACAAGCCACCCTGCTGTCCTGGGAAGCACCGTGGAGAGGAGGTTCACCTCTGTCCCAGAGGCCCTCTTGTCTGTTCTTGCTCAGCTACCATGTGTGCCCTCATTGACAGATGGCGCCTGGCCCAGGGGCCTACCCTATGGGACTGCCACACAGGGTCTGAACACTTCTCAGGGCCACTGTCCTCTCTTTGTGATCAGCACCTGGTTGAGTTAGCTTCCATCTTGACTTACTGCTTCTTGGATCAGTTGGCAGATCTTCACATAACTGGCTTTGTGTAGAACTTTTTCTAAAGTGGTCACATGATATTAACCACTTAGCTTCTGAAAATGGACTTGGCTGTTTCCTAAATAACAGAGTAGCTAAGTTCAGAACAGACTAACTGTGGCAAAGACAGTTGTCATTTTGCATGGAATATAATAATTATAGGCAGCAACGCTTTAATTAAAAGCATTGGCACCTCCCTCACAAACATTTATTTGCTGGTTTTAAAAAGTTAAACTGCTGGGCCTCCCCTGGTGGTGCAGTGGTTGAGTGCTGGGCTGAGAAGCTGTCCCCAGCCTCTGCAGTGCTGGTTCCATCTCTGGCAACCAGCGAGGGCCCCACATGGTGCGACAGACCTCTCCTGCCACCCGCTGCTCCCCTCAGCAGTGAACTTCGCCAGTCTGCCTGTTCTGTTCCCCGCTCTGGCTCTAGTGAATTCTCTCACCCTCCCGCGCTTCTGACTGTACCCAGTGCTTGTATAAATAAATAAATCAATCTTTTAAAAAATAAAATATATAAATAAATAAATAATTAAAAAGGTAATAATCTACATGCATATTTGAAGAATGCTGTCTGAAGTAAAAGAGAGCCTTCAGTTTCTTCCCTTTTAAAATATCACATTAAGAAAATAATGTTTTCGGGCCTCCCCGGTGGCGCAGCGGTTGAGCGCTGGGTTGCGAGGCTGCCCGCGGCCTCTGCGGCGCCGGTTCGATCCCCGGCTGCTCCCCGGCCACTGGAGGAGGGTCCCACATGGCGCGCAGACCTCTCCTGCCGCCCGCTGCTCCCCTCAGCGGTGTACTTCGGTCCTTCTGCCTGCTCTGCTCCCCGCTCTGGCTCTGGTGAATTCTCTCGTGCTTCTGACTGTACCCAGTGCTTGTATAAACAAGCAAACAAACAAACAAATAAATAAATAAATACATGCCTCTATTTTTAAAAAAAAAAAAAGAAAATAATGTTTTCATCTTACGTTTTTAAGACTTTATTAATCCTCTCATGAAAAATCTGCATGATCACCACAGATAAAGTCACTGCAGAATCTTGACTGGCCTTTGCAGTCCCCCAACTTTCTTCATTCTGTTCTTGTGTCCTTGTCTTCAGGTCTTTTTCTCATGCAGCCCATGTCTTGCAAGTCTATGTTTGCAGTCATTGTTCTTTGCATCGTCCCAGGAATTGTAAATCATGCCACAGCCAGCTGTCTTGTCACCAACAAAATGGGTTCTGAATCCAAATACAGAAATGACATTTAGGGTGGTCTTATGCATTTTAGTTTTTCCTGAGTTTCTGTCCTAGGCTCTGTTACCTTCCTAGAGTGAAGGGATTCAGTGACTATTTCCACTGAAGCAGTGGGTTTTGGTCACATACTTCTTGTTCCCAATAGTTACTGTGTTGTTCATGATGGTGACAGATATTCAGGCAGCAGGGAGGAAGAGTGTTTTCATCTTAATTTTAATAATTGAAATGGGTAAAGCACTAATGATTTCTTAAGCCCTTGTGTATACCCTTTATATTTGATTATGTGTAACCTAAGTTGGTAGGTTATGTGCTAAATTTCATATTGATCAGAAAATTTGGACCTAACATTCACTTTTGAAGTATACAAAAAAAAGACTTAATTTGTACAAAGTTCTGCATTGGCACATCTTCCTACTGGGTAACTTGGTCCTATTTTTTTTTCTTTAAAATTATGCATAGTTCTTATGCAGTAGAAACTTAGGCACCCAGGGTAAAAATGGATTTGCTCACTCAGCATAGTTTAGTGCTGTGTATCTGTTTACATCCTGTCCTCTCAGAGAGAGCCCACAACCTTGTGACTGAAGTCACACATCACATTTGTGACCCCAGAGTCTCTTCTTCCTGTGTACCCAGCTTGAGGCACTCCTTTGTGTGACATCCCAGGAGTTAACATGACCTAGTTTTATGTAGTTTAACTAGTAATACATCCCTCATGTCCCGCAGGTTGTGTGAGCTTTAATCCCTTTACTGGTCTGTTGGGTACTTGAGAAGCAAACCAAATTACCTTGGAAGTGTTATTTTTGTGAGATGTGATTTAGCTTGACTGTATCTGTGCCTTAGTGGACATAATTAACTCAAAGGTCATGGCTTGGTCCTGATAGTGCTCTGTCAATGTAACTGTTGCCTCTCTCATCTTGAGGTTCAAGAACAGTGAGTCAGCAGAGGTGGCAACGGTAGTTGTCACTGCTGAGACACGTGCCACCTGCATGAAGACTCCACTGTCCTCTGCAAACTGTTTTCTGCAGCCCATGTCATCATCTTTCCTTAACTTTGATTGGCTCATGATACAAATGAAAAATACTGCTATTTATATACCCTTAAGAAAAAGGCTAGGATTCATAATCTTCTAACTATATTGTTCCACTTCTAGGAATTATCCTCTGGAAGAAATTAGAGAGCCATACAAAGATTTGTGTATAGGAATAAAGTCACAACATTGTAATTGGAAATGACCTAAACTTTCAATCATAATAACCCTTGTTATGTAAATTGTGGCATGTTCTAAACTTGGAATGGCATTCTTCCATGAAAAGCCATGTTCTCAAAGAGTATGTACTAGAGATGTGATAAAATGCCTATCAGGCATTGTGGAGAAAAGTTTAAGATATAGAACATTATGCACCTTGAGTGCTGTGTTAATAAGAGATAGAAAAAAAAGCAAGAAGAATGTAAGCCCAGTTACTAATAGTGAGTCTCAATGGATGGTGGAGTTATAGGTCATTTTAGTTTTTTTCTTTCTTTTTTTAAAGCTCAAATGTTCTACAGGGAATATAATTTTTCATAATGCAAGATAAAAAGTAATACTTAGAAAAGAAAGTTTATATTCTCCTGAAAAAACTAGAAAGCATTTACAGTTGTTGACATGTCAGATCGAAGCTTAAGGAAATGGAAGGCATTTGAAGGAAAAGAGAGTCTGGGATGAAATAGGAAGACCAGGTCTAGGGAATATGGAACAAGGGTAGAAGACAAAATTCCAGTCAAGAAGAAAATGGATATGAGGGCTTCCTGTGCCATGGGACTTTGAAAGACCCATTTGGATGGCAAGAAGCTCTGTGACTCCCACAGATGCCACCAGATGAGAGCAGCACAAGAGGAGAGAGGTGGTGTGGGCACAGCCCTCCGGCTGGGGTGCTGGCATTCCCGTGGAAGAGCCACAGGCTGTAGTTTCTCACGGTCTTGTATTGTGGTCAGAACAGCTCACACAGCACTCCCAGTGTCCTGGAGTTTATGACAGATCTCATTGAATAAGCCCTTAACTTCCAGGGAAAAAACTCACACGAAATCCATAAAATTGGTCATGGGAATTCTCAGACTACGCCTAAGTATTCTTTCAAAAATGATGGAACATGAGTTCCATGTGGCATTTTGGAGCTACGACTTTCAGTTTTCACTTTGTTTTCCAAATCACAACTTGGTGTACATTCTTGTAGCAAGCAGAAATCTTAGCATGAAATAAATAATTTTTATGCAAAAGCAACCCACAGATCTATAACAATTACCATTATTATATGGATTCTACAGGCTTGTGACCTGTACTTGAGCTTTAAACATGTAGGAACAGACTGTCCCAGTGTCTAAAACAAAACAAATGCTCTGTGTGTGTGTCTGCGTATGTGTTTCCTCCCCACTCCAAGCCCCCAAAGATAGCAAAAGGCAAAAGGAAAAACCTCTTTCTTATCAGAACACTGGCTCAGCGGAGGTCCGATTGCATGGGGCTTTAATTGATTTGTGGCTATGATAGTGAGCAAGTCTTCAAGGAGCCTTTTGTTCTTTTTTCCCACAATATAAAAATCTGACTACATTCTGCTGAGGACTTTTCTCCATTTCCTTTTATACAAAAAAGGTCAATTCCTGGCATGGTGCCCTGGCTGCTTAGTGAGCAAGACGAAAGAAAGTCAAGAAATTTCCATTACGCCCATGTGGATTTGTGTGGAGCAGTGTGCAAACCCAGACTTAGGCCGCCTCTGTCTGCCCACCTCGGATGCCAGCCCTCGCCTTTCTCTGGGGGTGGTTTCAAAGTACTGAGTAAATCCTAGAACCATCGTGTCCTGACTCCATCCTAATGTCTTGCTATTGCCATGCTACTTCCCAGATGGAGGTGAAAGCAGTCCTTAGCCGTCTTGTGAAGCTGTTCAGAAGTCCTGTCCTCTCAGTCAGCGAGGTGCAGGCAGCAGCTGGAGAGAGCAGAGACGGGGTCCCCAGACTGCCCACGTGTCGACAGCTGATCCGGCACCTCCTCCTGAACTTCTTGCTCTGGGCCCCTGGAGGCCGCTTGATTGCGCAGGAAGTCATCACCCTCGTAAGTCTCCCTCTTGTCTAGTTCCTAGTTCTGAGCACAAGGAGGGGTACCTTCCAAGGAGGGGCCTGGCCTGTGAGGAGTGTGTGTACTTGGATGCTGCCCAAACCTGTACAGACAGGCAGTGAGGCTGACAACTGGGATGGGTCCTTGACCCCGTGCCATACAACACCTACACTTCATAGGAGAGAAACTCTAGGCTCAGAAAAAGGAGGTGACTCCTTCCAGGTCATAGCTTACTAGGCCTCCCATCTCCCAGGTACTATTTTGTCAGTTCTCTTCATCCCTGTGAGAAGTAAGACTTCGGTGAGAATGTGCTCACTGGAGGGGTTCAAAGAATTTCATTTGTTAAATTTTCAAAGTACCAATTACAAAGTATTCCTCCCTAAAGCCCAGACATGAGGGTTAAAGAACAGCCCACATATCAAAACTGAGAAGCATTTTTACATTGGAATAGGCAATGATTTGTCAGAGAATATCACCAAAGTTACAGGCAACAAAGGAAAAAGGTAACATGGATTTCATCAGAATTAACTTTTTTGTATCAAAGGGAACAATCACGAGAGTAAAAAGACAGCTCATGGAATGGGAGAAAAATATTTGGAATTATGTAAGGATTAGTACCCAGGGTACATAGGGAGTTCTTACAACAACAACAAAAAAAAAGACAGTTCAAAAGTGGGCATTTTCCAAAGAAGATATAGAAATGGCCAAGAAGTAGAAATGTTCAACTACATGACCCATTTTAGGGAAATGCAAATCAAAAGCACAAGGAAATACCACTCTGCACCCACTAGGATGGCTATCATAAACAAAACATAGCAAAATGAAAAACAGCAAGTGTTAGTGAGAATGAGGAGAAATTGAACACTTGTACACTTCCAGTCGGCAATATTAGTGGTGCAGCCACTGAGGAAGAGTTTTGTGGTTCATCATAAAGTTAAACATTGGATTACCATATGATCCAGGAAATTCTACTTCTGTGTATATACTCAAAAGTATTAAAAACAGGAACTCAAATGGATATTTCTACATCCATATTCATAGCAGCATTATTCGTAATAGCCAAAGGTGGAAACAAGCAAACATATCCATCAACAGATGACTGAATAAACAAAATGCAGTGTGTATACACAATGGAATATTATTCTGTCTTAAAAAGGAAGTAAATTCTGACACATGCTAAGACATGTATGAACCTCAAAGACATGCCAAGTGAAATAAGCCAGACATTAAAGGACAGATATTATATGAGTCCACTTATATGAGGTACCCATAGTAGTTAATCCATAGAGACAGAAAAATAGGAATTATCAAAGGCTATGGGGGCAAGGGTTAGTTTATATTTAATGGGTACAGAGTTTCACTGGGATGATGAAAAATTTCTAGAAGCGGGTAGTGGCGATAGTTATACATTATAAATTTACTTCATGCCAATGACTTACACTAAAAGATAGTTGAAATAGCACGTTTTATATCTATACAATTAAACTGCTCATTTTTTTAGTAATTTTTTTAATCAGGGTAACATAGGTTTACAACACTGTACATGATTCAAAGGCATAGGCTCATACCTCCTCAGATGCACATTCCTGCACCACATCACACCCTCCACCCAGACATCCTCTACCCTTCACCGTAGTCCATTGTGCACCTACCCCTTTGTTCTCCCTTCTCCCTCCCTCTTGTTTTATCCTCAGTTCCACAGCCAGATTTGTTATTGGCTGGGTTTTGTCTTACTCTTTCTTTCATTTCTCTATATTCTGCATAATGAAACCATCCAGTATTGTCATACTCCTGACTTATTTCATTTAGCATAATCCCCTCCAGTTCTGTGTTGTTGCAAATGGCAAGAGGTAATCTTTTTTCACAGCTGAGTAGTATTTCATTGTGTACTTATTCCACATTTTCTAATCCACTACTTGGTCCTTGGACACTTAGTTTGTTTCCATAACTTGACTATTATAAATAGGGCTACAGTGAACATGGGAGTAAAAAATGCTCATCTTTAAAATAAAAATCATCAAAGCAAATTCAAATCAACACTTTGGCTCTTCAAGTTTTTATTACTTTTATTACTGTTTTTTTTTTACTTTACATATAATATTTACATATAATATACATACAGAAAATGCACACCTGATGAATTTCCACAGATAAAAAATACCCTCTCAACCAGCAACCAAATCAAAAAGGAATACCTCCAGGGTCAGAGGGGTACTCCTGCTGCCATCCAGGGCACCTCTGCTTGAGGGGGGTGTGAACTATGGGCAAGTGGGACTATCAGGAACCTCAGACCCAGTGACCAGGATGCTCTCCTCAGTCCTGGTCAAACAGCCTGTGGAGTGGAGTCCCAGCATCCAACCTGGCAGTCCCCACCTCCGGCAAGCCTGGGCATGGTCAAGAGCAGGAAATGACTGAAACATTGCATGTTGGATGTTTTCTCCTTCAGGGCCCACCCTACCTCAATGATCTGTGGCATGCTTTTAAAAAATACACACCTCACTTCCCAGTGTATTTCGGGTGGAGAATTTAGTAGGTGAGAGCTCAAAAATGTCTGTATGCCATAGAACTTTCTTTCTGGCCAGGTGTAAGTAAGTTGTAATAACCACCTTTCTGGTAATCAGGGTCAAAATTGGTGGGTATTAGTCATGTTGACAGTTTGAATCCTTGATATAATGTAAAGACCACTTTGGTCTTCATGCCCAAAATGTATAACCTCAGTCTAATCATGAGAAAGACAAGTGAAAAACCCTAAGTGAAGGGCATTTAACAAAATACCTGACCAGTGCTCCACAAAACTGTTAAGCTCATCCAAAACAGGGAACATCTGAGAAACCATCACAGCCAAGAAAAGCCTAAGGAGACATGATGACTAAATATAACGTATCTTGGATGAGATTCTCAGGCAGAAGAAGGACATCAAAGGAAAACTGAGGAGATCAGAATACAGTCTGACCACTAGTCAATTAGGTATCTGTTGGCTAGTTGTGGCACATATACCATACAAATGTTAGATGTTGTTGATTGGGGGGAAGTGGGGGAGGGGGGAATCAGATTTTTGTATTGTCTTCAATACAATTATAAATCTAAATCTGCTCTAAAGTTACTTTTAAAAATCAACAGCAGGCACTTTTGAATCATGAAAGTGTTGGAAGCATTTTTGTTGCCTGACCTCTAACCTCCTGCCCATGCCCCTCCTGCTCCTCTTATTTCCTTTCTCCCTGGAGTGGATAAGCAGGCCCACACTAGAGCTCACCCTGTTCCTAGACCAGGGATGTCAGAACAAAATCCAGAGAAAGCTCCTTGGAGATACCCACATCTCCCTGTTATTCCAACCACATTTCCATTCATTCCAGGGAAACAGTCCACATTCAAAGTGGACCATCCACAAGACTCACTGCAGAGGAGCTGCTGTGAATGAGTTGCTAGAGCTCGGCAGGAAGTTTAAGTCTGCTGCCTGTGCTGGGTAGCTGTTTCCCCAACACAGTTCAATCCCAGCCACGCATCCACACTGCTCACCTGCACCTGAGCTTGGAGGCAAGAACACTCCAGTGCATCTGCCATTACACTTTGTTAAGTAAGCTCAGCTGCACAAAATTCACCCTGGTGTTCATCTTTATGTACTGGTCTCCAGTGGGTAGGTGCTGCCATCTGTGCATCTTGAATCCATAACAGCTGAGAGTGTCTCCTGTAGATGCCATCCTTGCAGATGTTCTGAAGCGGTTTCTACGAGTGTATCAGCCTTCCTAACTCAAGGCTTCCTGTGGTAGCCAAAGGACAGACTGACAGCACCCCAGCTAATACACAGGACAGATGGGCAGAGCCCTCTGCGAGCTGCCGACCTTTTATGTCCTTCCCCCCTACCCTGCCTGGTGGCCAGACGGTGGCAGTGTTGGCTTGGTGGGAGAAAGGCTTTGGCTTCACTCCCCATAGGACCCTCACCCTGAGCTTGTTTCTCTCTCCCTCACCTTTTGTCTTCTGTTACTGGGCCACAGCAATAACAGCCAAAAGTTAGCAAGAATCTGAAATCTAGGTATAGTTCTTGAAGCCAAAATGAACTTAACCCCTACACGACACACCTCAGCCAGGCCTGCAAGGAACTGGGTTACTGCCCTTGGCTGCAGTGAGGTAAACTTTAAACGTGCCTGGAGACCTGGACTGGAGTTGAACTGGCCTGTGGAGAAGATGCGACCTGCAGTCACTAGTCATGGCCACACTGCTCTGCTGCTGACTTGGTCGGCCCAGGACCACATGGAGCGGGAGGCTGAGTCTCCTCTGGAAGACATGCCAGGAGGGGAACATTATTTTGTCCACAAAGAATGGAGATTGATTCTGACGAAGGTCATCAACAGCATCTGTGATTTCTTAGCAAAAACCAAGTGATGGTGATACGCTGAGAGCCACGGAGAGCCCAGCGGACTGGCATCTGCCCCCCATCCCCACCAGCAGAGCCCCACTTGGCTCTCGAGGTTGCTTGCAGTATTGTACAGTCAGCTGCTGTCAGAGTGTCTCTGATCTGGAGTCAGAAGGTGATGACCCAGGAGGGAAGGGTCTCCTGGGCTATAGAACTCTTAAGTCCTCAGACCAGGATGGTCCTTGGGGAACTGGGGTGGTCGGTGAACCTACCAGAATGACCCAACTTAGAGAGGGAGTTGCTGCTGGCTTTGGGCTGCTGAGGCTGAACACTGATTCTGGGGTCAGCATAAACTCACATACACAAAAACAAGTCGACTACTCTCAAAAAACATAGGTCTTCTTAATATACTTGTGTCTAAAAATTCACAGTCAGTTCTTCATGATGCTGAATTGTGAACTTCTCACCCTTTCGCTCAACCAAAATTCTTAGGAAAGTACTTATAGGCTCCAGTGACCAAGAATGCCCAAAGGCTGTATTTACCAGAACTAAGAATGCCTGTGTTTCCTGCTTTCCTATGAGAATCAGGTGTTAAAACATTAGGTGCCTCTGAAAAAAAACAAGTGGGCCTGGCCGTTCACCCGAGATTGCCATTTTTAAAGCTGCTGTGTGAAAACAGGTGGCATTTCCCCCCCAGCATTTCCAGTTCCCATGTTAGGGCAACCTTCTGCGAAAAGTCAATCCACTGCACGTTCATTTTCCTTGGCTCCTCATAGCAGAATCCCAGGCGTATGACAGTCGTCCAAGCTTGTCTGTAGTCCCCATGAGTGTGAGTCTCAAGCCATTTGTCGGGAGAGAGAGAGAGCAGGAGATGACTGCTCACTGGAATGCTGACCTCTGAGAATGAACTTGCCTTGCTAATCACCTTGAAAATAAAACTAGAGCCATTTGGAGTTAACAGAATGAGGCTGCTTTTCGGGGATGGGATGGTTATGGTTGGTCCACTGGATAGGCGGATGCATCTGTCAGGAAAGTGTTTGATCTGCTTTCTCTTCTGTTCTTATTGCAGATGGCTCACACCGATGCGATAACCCATGAGATTATTGGCTTTCTCGACCAGACCATAAACAGATGGGATCATCTTTCTGTGGAAGCACCTGAGTCAAGAAAACTAGCCAGAGAGCTTCTTATAGCCCTGCGTGGGCAAGTGTAGCCCAGGAAGGTATAGCTGCCATGCCTTGCCGAGGCCACAAGACGAAATAATGAGATGGCCTCTTATAGCCACAAGTCAGTGGAATGAGAGCCTCTCTGAGTTCTGAGAATAAGCCAGAGGTCTCTTCTGGACACCTGGGAGTAGGTATTTTACAGTGTGCGAAGATTTGTTAAAAACTAAGATTTCTTCCTTAATGACATGATTATTCCTTCAGATCCCCTGTACCTACTCAGCCCAGGAAGTTAATCAGAGAATCATGAGAGAAAAGGCTTGGATGAAAGAACAGACTGTTATTTCCCTTTTCCCTCATATCAAGTCAAGATGTCCAATTACTATTTGAATGTTTCAAAGTCTTTGGATCAAGACATTTAGAAAGCAATCAATTTAGAAAGCAGCTTAGCCCTTTTCCATAGATTTCTTAAGAAATCAGGAAATTGTCACTAATTCTTTTAACCACAGGGATTTCTCTATGAGATTCGTCATCAGGAGAGTCAGGATCCCTCAAGTTTCCCTTGAGCTCTCTTCTGAACAGCCAAGGAGAAATAGCCTAGTGACAAGTGGGGGTGACAGGCCCCCACTTATATATCAGGCACATGCACTAGCCCTGCCGTGGAGAGCAACCCAGAATAGCACTGACATCAAGCCAGTCCTGGAACTGATTTTGCTTTATACTCTAGACTGCTACCAAATAAGCTCATGTTACTTCCTGACTGACAGGAGCAGGAATAGGACGTGTTCAGGAAACATTAAAAGAGATGATTTATCAGTTGTCTCATGAACTGAAATGAGATTTGGAAATTTTCAGTAAAGACTTGGTAATCCCAAGGTTAATACTTAGTTTGTATCAGTTGAACATAATTTTTTTCCTTTCAGGCTCATTCTTCTATTGATGGTATGCTCTTTTGTGTATATTCTTTTTGTCAAGTGAGTTAAGACTTTTATGTCCCCTTCAGTTTAAGTGTTAGTAATTTCTGAATCTTCCTCAGGTTTAGCTCCTGTTTGAGGTATGAGTAAAGTTTGGTTGGATTATAGCGGGAGCTTTTAGGGGAATTACTGGTTTCGGTGTTATGGCCGTGCTTATGGCTCTACCTGAAGATGCGGATAATTCCAAGAACTTTTCACCTTTTGGGCTGTCTTTTGAGAAGTTACAGTATGAAAGGTGTACTGATAGTTTGTTGCAGCTACCATCCATCCCCATTACCACTTTCATATGCTTCACTGGAGTTGAGAACATCTCCCCTGTGTTGATCTTTGCTATGGAAGCTGTGACCAACCTATATGGACATGAAGAACAGGGCACATTTTGGTTGCAGGGAGAGACCCCTAAAGCAGGTACCCATGATTCAGACCTCTCTGTGGAGGGTGTGCCCATGTGGAAATCATTCACACTGTACATCACAACAAACAGTGAAAACAATATGGTGGCCTCACCTTAGAGTGCTGAAGCTCCATTTCCGGAAGATTTCTTCCTGACATGACTTGACTTCAACTTGTTTGCAGTAGTTCCCATTTCCTTACAAAGCCCTTAAGCTCTCCCAGGCTTTCAACATCTAAGCCTACGGAACTTTAGTCTTCATCCCAGTGAATTCCCAGCAGCCAGGTAGTTCCTATGACTTACGTGACCCCTCACTGTCCATGCAGACTTCTATCAAGGGGCTGCAGGCACTGGTTTGCTTACTGATTGGACTTTCTCCCCTTGTATTTTCCCACCTTGATAAAAGAGAGTGGTGCTCAACCAATGGGCAAAAAAAATGAAAGTGTCACCAGAGAAAGCTGTCCCCTAAATGAGATGAGCAGCTACACAGCCTGCCACTGGCCCTTAGTACGAGCACATGCTAACTCCATAGAAGAGTTTACTCCATCACATTCCCTTCATTCTTGTGAGGGCTGAGGAATCCCCCACAAGGCCAGATGGAGGGCAGTGCATTGGGGAAGTGGAAGCAACATTCTTAAAAAATCAAAAGAGACAGATACCTGCACTTCCTTGACTCCTGAGTGATCCCACACCCAGACCCTGGTCAGGGCAGAAGTATCAATATTTATAAACTACCTCCTTTCCATCTTGGTATTTTAGGAAAGTTGAACACATGAGTTTAGTTTTTTGAAAGAAATGCAAAGTGGGGGAGTCCTGCTAAAAAAATGGGCCCTGATGAAAATACATCAAGGCACTGGGGGAAGAGCCGGGAAGGCCATCAAGGCCACTGAGTCTTCCCCCACTGGAAAACCCAGAGCACCCAGTGGGGCTGCGTGTCAGGCGGGGCTGTATCTAGGATTTGCCATAGCAGGTTCTTATCAACACACGGTGCCTGTGCTAGGTTCAACCAGCAGAACAGCCAGTGAACAGTGGCTTCAGCAACGATGACACCTGATGGTCTTGGATGCAGAAACCCAGAAAGCTGGCTAATTAAGTCACACAGCAGCCTCATGCCCTGGGTTGACTTCACTAAGGTCACCTGGCTTTCCTCTCTGAGGTTGAAAGAACACTGCCAAGTTCAGGCTTTGCCAACAGCATCCAATAGAATGAAAAGAACAACTGAGTCCCCCTTGTCACCCCCTACTCTGCCCCGCGGCATGTTGGCTGAACTGCCCATAGCAGAGTTGGCGTCCTGCCTCCCTGACAGGCCAAGGCCAGAATGTTAATGAGGCTGGAGCTTCAGGCCTTTCTCTGCCTGGCTCTTTCCAAGACCCTGGAGAAGCCCCTAGTAAGGCATGCCCGCGGTCATTTGTTAAATTTGTAAGAAGAATTTTAACTGCAACTGCAAAGATAAGTCTCTGTGCCCTCCTCCCACCTGCCTTCACATTGGGTGTCACAGGGCAGCCATAAGCACCCCCAGGATCTGACTGAGGAATCTGAATGCACAGTGGTTTGGCCTGCATTTCCTCGGGCGCCCGTGTAGCTCACCGTCATGTCAGAGCCCAGTGCGGTGACTGCAGCACCCGGCAAAGCCACCGCTCCCAGAACAAAGCTGCAGGGCCAGTGACTGTGGCACCACAGAAGCATGGCTTGTGCCCCCCACCCCGAGGAATGTGGGGTGTGCGAGAGATAATGCAGGGACTGAGGGGAAATCCTTCCAAATCATACAGCTGGTGGCTGGGATGAACTTGACAGAGGTTTTCAAGAGATCTGATAGCAATACACAGATTTTACATTGCCAAAAAAGGCTGTGAAGTGGAGACATTTTTCTAAAGTCTCAATAAGTTTTTGCTAAAGTGCAATTATTTTTCTCTTCCTTCTGTAGAAAATATGTAAAAGCAACGAACAAGAAACTATATATATTTTTTATATATATAAAATCACTGTCTTAAAAAAGGGGGGTCAAAAAGGAAAGAACCCAAAACTAGAGGGAAGAAAGGCCTATCACCCTAATGCACACAGACATTATGACACTTGTGGAAATTTAGCTTTTTTAATTTTGTCATTTAATGTTTTTTCATTCTAAATAAAAAGTCATGTTGCACCTAATTTTGTATTCACATTAAATATTACCTTTCTCATAAAAAGCTTCCATCTACTCCCCAGTTATGGAAACTGCAGATCATACAAAACCTAGATCATCTGCCTCTAGAAAAGATCAATGATAGGTGATCTGTGGCCTGGGGCTCTTGCCATCAGATACCTAACAACTGAGGCTCCATTTCCACAGAGGGGGTGACCATAGGGGAGACAGTCAACAGGGCAGTCTCCAATGCATTATATACCAAATGAAATGCTACACACACACACACACACACACACACACACACGTTTTGTATATTGTATTTTTTTTTCTGTGAACCAGACTTAAATATTTCCACATAGTGTAACTTGAATTGTTCTGTCCCCATTTCTGAAGAGAGAATTTGGTGACACGGCCAGCACCCTCTTGCCCACTCTGCTGCTGTTTCAACCATGGTCCCTGTGCCCAGGTTCCCCAGAGCCCCTGGGCATCTTGGAAGAAGGAATCCACCCTGTTAGAGCTGTCGCCTATAGGCCCCCAGCTGACCCTGGTTATACTGCAGCCTGACAGCTAGCTTGGACGTCTAGCCCCTCACTGCTTCCCGCCAGGGGCAATGAAGACCTCGACTGTGTCCAGAGGCCTCTGAGAAAGAGGTGGCGAGTAGATAAGAGGTTTCTGCAGAAGCCCCTGGGGCAGCCTTGCTTTAGTGCATCACCAGCCTTTGTCCACTCAGCCTGTCTGCCTGTCGTGGCACAGGGTGCTGGCCCCAAACAGGAAGCGTCCAGAGGACAGGAGAAGCCACCATGTGAGGAGTGAAAACCAAAACACAGGCACTGATGGGGAGCTGGGGAGTCAGCAGACACGCTAGACAGTTAAGGAAAATCCAAACCCAGCCCATCCTACGTTGCTCAGAGGGCCGGGGAGGCACTGCATTGTTTGCATAGCGAGAACCAGTGAGGAATCCACATTGATTTTGCTTCCAAAGAAGAGAAATGAATTTTAACTGTTGCTGTCTCTGTCTTTCTGTTCTTCCCTTTCAAGTTGTTACCACCCCCATCCATTACCCCTACTCCCCACCTCCACCCCTGTGCTGGAAGTGGGTTTTGACGTGGACTCCATGGCCAAACAACTCTGTTACTAATCATCACCAAGCTATTCCAGAAGACCCAAAATTAAGGCAAATGTGTATCTTAAAGTCTTCAAAATCCAGTTGCCTAGTGATTATACCAAGGGTGCAAATCTTATCCCTCACATTCAGACTAGTGACAACAAAGTGTATATTGTAGGACGAACCTTTCCAATTCCTGACACAACCATGACATAACCTGGCAGGCTGAGTACTACTCAGCCAGCTGCAGTGCCTCATGCCCAACTTCAAGAGGCCTGAGGAAACTGCTGCTACTGCCACAAAATCCTGAAACTGAGAACCTTTGTGGCTGTGCCCTGCAACATCTGTGACCGCCAGTAGGAAGGCCCTTTAGCCCATTCTTTAAAGCACTGGCCAGTCTGGCTGGCACATCTGACCAGAGGAGCCCAGGTCCTCTCCTGCTATTTGGCTGAAAAGGGAGCTGGGAAAGCAAGTGTCTGCCTTGTTTCATCCTGACATCATTGGTTATCCTTCCACCACCAACTGTGTCACCCTTGGACAGGAAGAGGTCAGGACCTGCACGGCTGAAGAAAATAATGCCCACAACACTATATATTGTCTCTATTGCCTCTTTTTCGACCCTTCTAGAGTATTTGAGAAAGTCGAGTACCGTGGAATAGTCTAACACTCAAAAAAAGGTAGAGAGGGCCCTTGGCAGAAGCCAGTCTGCAGGCACCTCAGGCCCTGTGAATCCTGAGACCCAGAATGTTCAGGGGTAGAGGAGGTGCATGTGCTTTGCAGGATGGCGGAGCCTACTCTGGCCTCTCCCACTAGTGCCAGCCCCTCAATGACACCAGACCTTCCCGGCACTGCTAGTGTCCCTGGAAGATTGCCCTGTCACCATCCCTCCCTCATTGAGAACCCCTGCTCAAACTCGTGGTGCTTTCCTTTTGGGAAGACATCCTGGAAATTTTGTTAAGAGTTGTTAGACTTGAGGCCTCCCTGGTGGCACAAGGGGTTAAGACGCAACCTATGAAGCAATCCACAGCCACTGCAGCATGAATTCGATCCCCAGCCAGGGAGCTACTCACATGGCGCAGCAGACCTCTCCCGACTCGCCCGCTGCTTCCCTCAGCAGTGTATTTCAGTCAATCTGCCTGTTCTGTTCCTCACTCTGGTGAATCCTCTCACCCTCCTGTGCCTCTGGCCTACACCCCAGTTCTTGTATGCATAAATAAAAAAATCTTTAAATAAAAAAAAAAAGAGTAGTTAGACTTACCAGGATGCTACTATGACAACTAGGTAATCTGATTCCAAAATTTTTATAGGGAAAAAAATAACCTTCAGGAACATCCAGGAGAATTCTGGAAGTGTTGTATAATGGAGTCTGGCAACGTGCACCAGTTACTGGCACTAGTTTGAGTCATTACAACAGTTGATGGGACCTGAGAGAGCACTAGCAGGCCCTCAGCTGAGCCAGGGAGCCCTCCCTGTCTAGCCAAGGGTTCTCAGGCCTCCCACTGGCCTACGCGTTTGGCCCATCATCCCTCCTCCCTTGTCTGACAGAACATTCCAAGGCTTATGCTCAGTCTGAGAGTTGGTCTCTGCTCAACCCTTGACCTCTTCCCAGTGGTCAGTGGATCCATTCTTGGGCCTCTGCCCTATGCGCCCTCACTCAACTGGGCTTTCACTGCCACCTGTGTACAGAGGGGCCACACCCTCATTCAGGACCATAGACCAGAGTACCCCGCTGCCTGTCAGACATCAGACAACCATCTCAAACCAAAGCTGATTCCATCGGCTCCACCCCCAGCCAGTCTCCCGTCAGCTGGTGGTGACGCTCAATTGAGTCATAACATGACTCAGGCCAAATCTTCTAGTTATTCTAGACTCCCCTCTTTCAGCTACATGTAATCCATTAGGACGTTCCTGAATCTGACCACCTCTTGCCCTCCACTGCTGCCACCGTGTCTTAGACACATCATCTGTCAGCCTCCCAGCTACTGCCCTTGTCCTTTCCTAGTACCATCTTGTCATACCACTGTCCAAAGACCACCCAAAGGTCCCTGTCAGAGTAAATCTCAAAAGACTTCAAGTGAAGACTTAACGTAGAAGCCCTATGCAGTCTAGACCCGCTTTACCCTCCACTTCATCTCCTAATGCCTCTACTATCCTGCCTGCAGCTACCCACCCACCGCACCTGCTCCAGCCGTGTGGGCCTGTAGCAGTTACTCCCACCCCAGTGCCCCTGTGGGTTGCCCTGAACCCCCAGACATGCAGGCTATTTCCTTCCTCTGCTCACGTCATCACCTCCATGAGGCTCCCATGACCCTCCCCCCTTACCCAGCACTACCTTAGCTTTTGTCCCTAATACCCAACACCTTCGAGCCACGAGGGAATTACTTAAATGTTTACTCTTTTGCTGACTCCGTTATAAGTGCCTGGAATAGTGTCAGGCGTAAAAGGTGTCACTATTTCTTGGATTAATCTGATTATGAATTTAATAAAGGAATTTTGATCAACAGGAAAAAAGTGCTGGGAAATCAAGTTGGACTTCTACTTCTTAAATGAAAATAAACATAAAAACAAAATACCCCACTCTTTCTTTACCAAACTTCTGTCACTGGAGGTCTGCTCTCTGGAGTTGGGCGTTTTCTCCAGAGAAGATTCTAGCAGTTCCACTTGGAAAGAAAAGGGGAATGGGGGCAGGAGGAAAGGAAGGTAGTCCATTGCTCAGACACAGAAAAACGCGAGTTTGTAAAATTAGAACTTCCTTGCTCCCAAATGTGAAAGGAATGTTCCTGTATTTCATTTAGACTATCTTGCTCATCTTTGGTTTGCAAACTTTCACATAAGCTGATTTCAGTCCCTCTGGCCTGACCCTCACCCACCCTCAAGCCCTGCATGCGTTCTGCAAGTTCACGGCCCTGCCCCTTCAGAGACTTTTCAGTCTTTGGGGGGGCTGCGGGGGAGAAGGTGGCTCTGCATGACACGAGGAGGGACCTGAGGCTCCAGCCACGTGACTGCTGACTTCCAGAATCTCCTGACTTGGCCCTTTCTCTGCAAGATGCAAAACCCAAAGCGACCAAAGAAAACTACCAAATGAAAGTGACCAAACAGAGATGAACAACAAATAACCAAAACTCTAAATCAAACTGGAAAAAAGAAAAGTTTTCTTTGTTATGCAACACATAAAAAAGAACTAATAGTCTAACTTCTAGAGGTCTGCTACAAATCAATAAGAAAAAGGCCCTCAGCCCAAGAGACTGGTGGACTAGAGACAACGCCACATGCAATTCACAGAAGGGGAAATAGACATGGCCTTGCAAAGACGAACAGCAAATATTTAACACAACTGATGAGAAACGCAAATGAATAAAACTATTTTTCCATGTCAGGTTGGAAGAGATGAAATGGGTCCTGCCACACCTGGCGAGGGAGGGGGCAAAGGCAAGTTTCTACGGGGAGGGAGACGAGTGGTCCGATGGCAGTATTCCCTTACTTTAATCTTCTCATTCTTACATCACTGTTCATCCGTGTGCAGTAGTTGGTTTCTCCCCTCAGGTGTGGTTCCCCCATCACAGGCCCCTGTTCTGACCCCCGCTCCCCTCCCCTGCTGGACACCTCCGGTCTGTGGTCAGCTTGCTAGATAGCGACATTTCCATGCAGACATCCTGGAAGCAGCGCGGCAAGGAAGTCACACTCGCACCTGTTCCACTTCTACAAGTGTCCCCCACAGAATTGCAAGCTGGAGCGCGAGTGGTAGCTGTCCGTCACGTTCATGGCAGCCGTGTCCTCAAGAGCCCGGAGGGGCGGCACAGTGTGCGTGGACAGGGGCTGAGCAAGCAATGCGTGGGCTCCCTCCGAGGGAGCCAAGTGCTGACACAGGCAACGGGAGGTGTGAGCCTTGAGGCTATTTCGCTAAGTGAGATGAACCAGTTCCCAAAAGCCACGTGTCAATGTGTCTCCACTCACAGCGGTCTCCGGAACAGTCATATTGGTAGGGAAAGAAAATATGAGGAAAGGTGGGTGCCAGGGGCTGGAGGGGGTGGGGCGGGGCGGAGAGTGAACAGAACAGTGTTTAATGGGCGCGGCATTTCAGTTTGGGAAGACGAGAAAGTTCTGGAGGTGGATGGTGAAGGTGGTTGCACAACCATGTGAAGAGACTTGAAGCTACTGAACTATTCACTTGAAAATGGTTAAAATGGCAAATATGTTACATCAATCTATCAAAATTAGATATTAAAGTCTTTAATTATATATCCTTCTATCCAGTAACAAAATCCTCTCCTTGGTCCAGATTGCATGGATCCCACCGGGACTAGCGAATCTAGGAAGTGGGGTGTGGACGCCCTGAGAAGTGGGTCATTCACGGCCTTGGCTGGCCCCAAGAGATTCAAGAGTTGCCCACTGGAAACGAAGATTCACTGCAGAGGCTGGTGAAGTACACCACAAAAACAATAAAGAGTAACGCAGACTTTAATTGTTGGTGCCAGGCCCTGTCATTAGGGCTTTGCATAAATTCATTCATTTAATTCTCACCAACACCGAACAAACTCATCCACAGTTATGGGCAGGAAACTGAAGCCCAGGAAGTTAGAGGCTGTCATCTCATAGGGCTGGGACCTGAAGAAAGGACCACGGGCCTCTGTGCATCACCGCCCCACAACTTATAGGATGGTCCATCAATGGACCTCAAAATGAAGCCAAGTCTGAAGGGTGCACCAATCTTGAAATGTGCCATTACCTGGAAACATCAGCATATGCCTTGCTCTCATCTGTGTAGAAAGTAGGGGCCCGGGCTCAGGCTTGTCTGGGCCAGAGAGGCCTGCCAACCTCCTCCTGATGGTGACTGGTTTGGAGAAAGGAACAGGTGGAGGAAAACTTAAGTCTTTGCTTCCATATTTATATTTCCTTGCATATTTAATGTATGCAAAAAAGACAAAGTTGTGATCATCAGTATATAAAGGTAAATTCGTGTTTGTTGTTCTGAGAGAGACTTACTTCTACATGCTGAGAAGACGCCTCCGGCACCTTCTATGACTTTAAAAAGAGACATCTGTGCCATATCCTTGAACTTACATCAGCCTATGGCATTTTTATAGCTAATTCATTGGAAGTATGTAGTGTTGGACATAAAAGTTTTCTAGAGAAAGACGACTTGTGGGCCTCCCTGGTGGTGCAAGGGGTTAAGACGCAACCTATGAAGCTGTCCACAGCCACTGCAGCACAAACTTGATCCCCTGCCAGGGAGCTACCCACATGGCAAAGCAGACCTCTCCTGTCTCGCTTACTGCTCCCCTCAGCAGTGTGTTTCAGTCAGTCTGCCTGTTCTGTTCCCCACTCTGTCTCTGGTGAATCCTCTCACCCCGCACACCTCTGGCCTGTACCCCAGTTCTTGTATGCATAAATAAATAAATCTTAAAAAAAATGAAGATTAGCTTGTTAGGTAAGATCTGTGTACCCTAACACAGAGGGAGGATGGCCTGAGGAATGGGGAGCTTTTAATCACCCCAAGTTGTAGAAGTTTGTGGCCATGACTCAACTGCCCAAATACCAGTCTGTCTGTCTGCCTCTGGATTCCTGATCAGCACTTCCTGCTCCACAACATAATCTCTGCCTCCAGTGCTGAAGCCACAATTTCTGCAGTTCTCTCTTCCTCAGCTTATTTATTAAAGCAGATAAAACCATGAAGCTACAATTCTTTCCTCTTAACAGTAACTGTCTTGTCTTCACAACCCAGCATTAACGTGGCTGTGTGCTGTCCCGTCAGCGATCACTGAAACTGGCTCCCACTTAATCTCTTATCGCCACAATTCACATTTTCCGCCTTAAACTTAACAGTCATTAGAGTATTGGGAGATTGAAATCATGCAATCGGAGCGTGGAAAACTGAGGCCTCCGGGTGGAGAGTGCTGGGCTTCCTCTACCCCGGCCTTTCAAATCTGGCCGCAAGTGTCCTCTCTGGTCTTAGGACACAGCCTTCTGCTTCCAAGGTCTGTTCTGCCAGACCTCATGCAACAGGGAGGACTATTAAGGCGGGAAAGACATTCTGGAATTTGGCACCTTTGGCAGTGTGGTTACGGCCCAGCCACGGCAAGATGGCCTCTGGCTAGGCTTCACGGCGGTGGGATCATTCCCAAGGGCTGAGCTGGGAATCAGGGACAAGAGGAACACAAGGAAAGCTGAAGAAAACAACCCACAGCTCACCCCACAGTCTCAGCGTCCTGAACAAAGCCTCGGAGGAGCTCCTGGGAAGGTGTGGTGATGCTGCCTTGTGGGGCCCTGGCTCTGGTCCCCCTGGTGGGCATCCTGCTGAAGGAACCTCCACAGCAGCTACAGCGGATGGGGGAAGTGGCTGCTGGGGGCCAGGGTAAGGGGGGGAACCCAACAGAGTAGTGTACCCTAAGTCTTTGGGGTTGAGAAGCCAAACCCCTGAACTTGTTCCCTCTCAGCAGGAACCAATTTGTCTTCCGTGAGACAGAAGTAGATGGGAGTAGATGGGAATGTGTGGTCAGAAGTCTTGATCTGCGTTCTGTAGGCACTCACCCCTCTGCTTGCACCCACACCCACAGATAAACATGGGTCTCTGGGGCCTTCACCATCCCCAACCCCAGGCCTGGCCCTCAAGAGTGAGGTGCGCCTGTGCGCCCCGCTCTGTCTCCGCCGCCCAGCGGCCTGCACTCCCGCCACCCAGGCCAGAGGCTTTCTCTGCAGTCTGCAAGTTCTGGCAGCATTTAGTTTTCTGGCAGCTTCCTTCTGCCCTCAGGCTTGGCTGATGGCCTCCTCCCTCTTTCTTCACACTCTCTGATCAGGGGACTGGAACAGAAATGCTTTATTAGCTGATCAATCTCCTGGACAGCACCAAAGGCTGGGAAAAGATCTATAAATGTCGTTTTGAATAGCTTCTACTGCCCGCCCTCCCACCTTGTAAACCCTGAGGGCCAACCAGAGCAGCAGGTCATTGTCTCCTAGGGGCTGGGTTCATGCCCTCCTCATTGAGCTTGGCCTCTGGGCACTGCTCTAGAAGGTCCAGACAGTCCCTTAAACCCCAGGCCCTCCAGCCCTGACCTTGCGCTGGGGGCCTCCAGGAACTCTGGGCTCAGGATCACCACCACACTGGCGCCCTCCTACTCCCATGGAGTCTGTGCCAGGGCTGGGCCCTGTCCGGAGGGAGCATCGGTCTGCCTCCTCAAGGGCCCCAGGGAGGACTGCTCCAAGGAACGTGTGACCCCATAGACATTGTACTGTTACTGGCTGGGGAAGGACCAGCGGGAGCATGCCCTCTGACTTCTCAGGAATGGGGTGTGGTGGGCACTGCCACCCTTTGGAGACCACAGGCCTGGGACACTGGAGGTCTGTGCTGCAGGGAACAGCTGGGGCGGGGACCCCCCAGGGCGCTTCTGCCTTGCTGAAGTGCTGGGCGGATTCCTCTCATCTCCCCCAGCCCCACCTTCATCTACGGAGTGAGGAGGTGGGAGGCCCAGCACGTGAAAGTGTGGAAGATCGGCCCTCATCATAAATCGCTCAGGCCTCTCATTCACCAGTGGCTACAGCGGCCTTGGTGAGGCTGTCTGTGCCGAATCCAGCAGGTCAGGGAGTAAGCTGGGCCACCCCAGAAATGTGTCTGAAAACTTTCAGAGCTCTGCTCTCATTTTAAAGGGATGGTTCATGTTAGGGATGAAGCTCACTATTTTTGGGTCTTCCACTGGGGTACTGGGTTCTGCCTTTAATGTCTCTGTACCTCATTTGGGATGGAGGTTATTATTTCAATGTTCGTTTGAAATTCCAACACAAATAAACACTTTAAAGTCCTTTAATCCTAAAATAGAGATGAAAGAGAACTGAATCATGTACTCCCCCCCCAACACTGCCCCCACCTCCATCTCCTGCCCAAGCCCAGGGTCACATAGTAGGTGTCCCCTGCACCCAAACCTGGGTGGGAGGAGGGATTGGGGTTGCCCCAGGTCAGCGGGAAAGATGGAACAGCCAGGCCCCAGTCAAGTCCTGCACAGGTTTGGGTCATGGTGTTTCCCACACGGGGACCTGAGACACATCAGCACCTGGCAGCCCTGCGGTGTCCCACCACAGGTTGGCCCATTTTTTCCCATACATTCCAGAGCCAAGGTGGCCTCAGAAGATCACCCTTATCCCCAGCCTGCCCCGTTGGGTGCAAGCACAGGTCTGCTGGCTAAGGCAGGGAATTCCCATTTCCAGATGGGAAATGGAGGACATTTTTGTCCCATGGAGGACAATTGCTTGGCAATTAACCATTGACCCGCCCAAAGGATGGGAGCGCCCCCTTTTCTCATTTAATAAATGTGAACCCAGCTGAGTTCAAAGCTGGCTGGCCGTGTGCTTGACTGCCAGGTGGCAGGTGCCACCACCTGCCTGGCTTGATTGGTACCGTGTCAGGAGGGCTCGGTGGGCCTGGGACACATCCCCAGAGCAAATCTGCGGTTCAACAGACTTCACTTCTAGGGCTGTGGTGGCCCCCAACAGTCCTGCGGAATTTGATTTCTGCCTGCTCAGCAATACTGACAGATGGCGGCGTTTCATGTCAAATACACACACTGTTTAAGGAAGCCAAGTGACAGTCCCTGGGTTTGCTTTCACTAGACCAGGGCATCCAGGCAACTTGTAGGCTCCAAATTGTACCTTTTGTTAAGTAGTTACCTTTCTATTCTGTTGTCTTCTCCCCTAAGCCTGGGGGCAGCAATATTTCCAGGTGGTTCCTACCTGGGGGTAGGAGTCTGGTGAACTGCTGAGCCAGAAACACACCCTCTTAGGGGGGGACCAGGGATCAGAAGCTGGGCCACTGAGGAAGTGGGCCAGCCTGCCACGCAGGTCCGTGGGCGATCTCTCCATGGGGTCTGTGAAACAGGTTCTCATTTCCACGCTTTTGATAACAGGCACCACCTGGTCCTGCCCCTGACCAGGTCCATCCTTACAGCAGGCTGCATCAGGAGCATGCCCTCTCAGTGACAAGATGGGGTTCCTCAAGCTATTACCGAACTGACAGGCACTAGGATGGGGAAGTCCCTGGCCACATACAGCCATGTCCAAATCCTGCCTGCCACTTAGTAAGTGACCTTGGGGAAGCAAACCTGTTCCAGCCTGACCCATGATGGGGACCTGGGGAGGGTGGGTGCGCCTGGGCCTGGTTGTACTCCCCACTGGACCACGGCTTCTATGTTGAGAAAGCCTCCATGGGCACAGCCTTCTTGTTAGGGGGAAAAGGATGTCCTGAAGGTAATTCCACACAGGCTTTGTGGACTCCACCCCCACCCCAGGCCAAAGCCAAAGACACTGGGAACTCCAAATCCCATCACCACCAGAGGGAAGGTGGCTGGGACCTGAGGGTGGGGTTAAGCAGCCAGGTTGGTATAAAGGCAGACACGTGGGCTTTGGGGGGGGGGTCCCCCATTTTGGCTCTCCACCAGCTCGCAGCGTCAGGCCAGCTCGGAGAGTGCCTTTAGGTTTCCAGGTCGGCGGATCGGGTAGGACGCATTAAAGACTTTATTTCCCTATTTTCTCCCTGAGTTGTACATTTCCTCATTTCCCCTTCCCTTGTAAATAAACCTTTTATTAACCTTTTGTGTGTGTCTGTAGTGGAGTATTCATAAGTCGCTTTTAAGCGCGCGGGTGAGGACCCACAGCCAGGCATCCCGTTTTATTTTATATCGGGGCTGCCCTATGACATTCTGACTCAAGTCCCACCAAACACCAGAGTCGGCCGGTTCCCAGTGGCCTACTGGAAGGTGTTTTTAAAATCAAATTACCTAAAATCAAGGACTGCCAGTCTCCGGCGTTTTCTTGATGTGCCGCCACACTGGAATCCCTTTGGGCTCTGGCCAGACTTACCTCCTCACACTTGGCTCCAGTGTCTTGAGAAATGCTGGAGGGCAGGTAGGAAAACCCATTCAGAGGCTAGAAAGTAGGATGCTGCTCGTTCTGGTCCCTGGCCCCAGTGATGACCTGGAGGTCAGTTCTGATAAGCTGTTTTTGCGCAAAACCTCACACGTGCTGCGGCTCGGCTCTCCCTCAGTACTTCCAGAGACATGTAGCGTGGCTTTAACTTTTTGGAAAAACAAGACTGAAATGGAACCACTGAGCCAGCTGGTCTCCCCAGTCCATCTACGCTCCTGGCCCCGTCCTGCTCCACCTCATTGAGGGCCAAACTCTCACCCCGACCGGAAGAGAAAGCATCACTTTCACCTCTAGTCATCAGCGAAAGCTGTTCTTACATTTATTCCAATTAAAAAAATTCTTTTACCAACACAATAAACACACAACATACAATGATATGCAGCACAGAGTTAACAGCCAAGAGCGAATCCTAGGAGACCTTTTAGAATGAGTCACTGTGAAAGAATTCTGAACATCGAGCTCTAATGAAGGTTGGTGGAAGAGTTGCAGTCACCCCACCAAAGTGGGGCACAGCCTGGCAGGGGAGCCAGTGTCAGCTCAGCCCCCAGAGGCAGCACCTGTGTGAAGAACCTGTCAGTGTGTTTCCTGTGCTGTTTTGGACTATCCTGCTTTTGGACAGTACTGGGAAGCTTTTGTCTTTTTAAAACTTCAAACATTTGTGGGAAAGAGGGGTGACACACCGCAGACCCCAGAGGGCCTCAATGTGCCCCAACTCTGCACATCAGGAGCAGGTGTCCCCCATGCAAGCTTTCTGAGAGCCCCAACACTACCCTGGAAACTAGAGACACCAGTAAGGTGGGCAAGAACACACCAGCATACGGGCAGTACCCTTTTCTTACACAGTAATTGCCCTGTTAAATCAGTACTAAATTGAGAAGGAATCAAATACAAAAAACTGAATCTATTACAGTTTATTTATACATCTGAGGTGTTCATCCTGTACGTTCACCAAAAGCTAAGAAAAATTTGAACAATCTAAATAATGGACATATCAATCAAAATGATTCTGTAACATCTTTCCGAAGTAACCCGGAGGAGGATGTCCTAAGCCCGGACCCAGCACAGAGACTCTGGTTTCCTGAAATGACAGAAACGTGCAGTGAAGTCACACGCTGACGGCTGACGCAGAATGTTCAGCAGGCTTTCTGCCCGTGTGTCTTGGATTTTCATCATTTGTATGAAAGAACTGCCTTAACCTCACAGAACAGGTGCAACTCTGATTCAACATCCTGAGGCGGCACGTCCAGGCTGGGGGACAAAGGCCCCCACATAGGCGTGTGGGGATGGTGTTCATGAGGGGGACCGGTCTCTGGCGCAGCTGTGCACATCACTGTTGGCTCATGGCTTCAGCAGCCCTGTAATTCTTGCTTTGATGTCCAGGGTCACTGCCATCCTGGTTGCAGCCAGGGCTGGGAGATGTCTGAAAAGAATCTTGCTGTGATCCTTCCTGCAAAGGGAACAGCAATAAAATTTATTGCCCAGTCAGAGATGAGGAATTCTTGTAAAGGGGCACCTCTGTGTGCCTCCGCTCTCTGCTGTGGAGAGGACTTTGCAGAGAGGACCGTCTCTGAGACCCAAGCCGCAGCTCACACCCCAGAGGGGGGGATCACCGGGTTCACACGTGGCTATGAAAGCCAGTGCTGTCACCAAGGCTCCACTCACAAGGAAGTATCCAGAGAGACAACCCATTTCACACCCACATTCACTGATCAGTTTGAGACCGTCTATGCTCTACACAGCAGGAGAGGTGGGCACCGCCTGTGTCACACATGTGCGGTGCTAATAACCACGTCTGCCTTTCAGTGAAGAGCCTGGCTTTCACGTCAGCAGTTTTATGATTCTCCCACCATCCACACACCAGGACCACATACAGATGGCACCACTGCTGCTGTCGGGGTAAAGTGGTGGCCGCTCAGCTGTCTTGCAGGATGGACTCCAGCTCCTGAGCCTCTGGGCACTTACAAGCAGGAAGGCTTTTTGCTCTAGGGCTCGACTCCTGTTCCTGCTGAACTGAGCCAGTGTGTAAAATGAGAACTGATATCAGCTCAGTAGGCACCGGAGGGCGGGTCCAATCGACAGCCTGGAGAAGCAGCGCCTCAGCTGACAGCTCGCTCCGTCGTCTGCTGGCCACTGCGGAAGACACAGAAACCTAGACTGCAAATACAAGAGAGAGTTCACCACGCTCGGGAAGTCACCACAGGGTCTCCTCTGACAGCACCCAGACCTACTCACATGCAACCAACTGCTGCCACAGTTTTACCTGACTTGTCATGCATCTGGTTTACTTTTTTGTAAGAGTAATTGCTGCAGTTTTCAATACATTTGACCTTTCAGACAGATGCCTCACTAGCGGGTTTATAATTCTGTGGACTTCCGGTATAATCCTTGCCTTCGTGCAGGAGAAAGTGCATTCCCGAGGCCACAGGTCTCATCCTCCAGCATGGCGCTCAGTGCCTGAGCAGCCCGCTCACAGCAGCGGCCTCTGCCCCGCGGCTCCAACTTAACTGTCCCCATATCTCACCTTCTCTTCAGGTGCAGAACTTAGCCACTGTGAACAAAGCGGAAACCAGTCACTGTTCACCAATCAGCTAAGCTCTGCACCTCATCAGAGAGGTCACCGGCCGGACATAGTGAGGGGCCACGAGCATCTTCTGCTGTGTCGGCTTCTGTTTCCAAAGAAGAGCTACAGAGGCGTCTGTTCTCCAACTGCAGAGAGAGGGGAACTATAGCTTCTGGAGGAGCAGCCAAGGTCGTGGTTGCGTGGTAATCCCTGGCAATGTGATTTTAATCTTAAGTCACAAATCAGCATGCCAGGAACCCAAGCAGCCAGAGCACTCTGGAGCAGCCGTGCCCGCCCATCACTGCCCCGTCGCAGGCACGGGGTCCTTGGACACAGGAGACGACACCACCTCCAGGCCTCTAAGCTATGATATGGGTTGTATTGCTTTCTTTTCATGTACTTGGTACCCTAGACATATAACTTTCTAAATCAAAAGAACTTTCTAAATCAAAAGACAACCATACAAATACCAGTGCAGCTTGGGGACATGACATGCCAAATGCACTGAGCAGCCATTCTGCAAAACTTTTAGGAAGTACAAATGGGGTAGAGATCCTAAATGGTCCACAATTTCGGGGGTCCTCCCAGGCTAAGGAGGACTCCTGGCTGTTTGAAGGTACACACGGGAGTAGCCCTGGTCACTGCTGTTCCTCAGAAGGCAGAGTTGGGGACCCAGGGCATGCTGTGACCCTGCCTTTCTCAAACACCGGAAGAGCTCAGAGGGAAGAGAGAAAACAGCAGAAACTCATCTCACTGGGATGCCTCCTTCGCCTCTTGCCTACTTGGAGTAAAAGTCACAAGAATGGCCAGAGCAGTGCGTCCTGCAGTGGGTTTCTAAAACGTGGAACTCAGGGCGTAGTATACCCTACTATAGTTCTAGGCATTCAAGAAACACCAGCTGTGAAATTAAAAATCTGAAGAGAAATATGACTTATACTGATTATTACATGCGGCTGGCAACACGGTAACTATCTAACTGCTCTGTTTTTCAAACTGGCCAACCTGTGACCACGGCCAGAGGGCGCCTGAGGGGTGTGTGTGGAGAAGTCTGCCTGTGGTTGTTTCACCACAAGAGGTACAATGGTGGCATTTATTTTCTCTGTTTCCTTTTCCTGGCAAACATAGGTCCTTGACTCTTCTGGAAGAACAGCATCATACTTTACAAAATTTTTTGTCTCTCCTATTAGAGTTCTTTCAGAAAAATAAGATGATTAAACATGTTATGCAGAAATAGTTTTTATAAGAACAAAACATTTGAAGCAAACTAAATGTCCAACAGTGGGTTAAGAGCATCAACAGAAAATATGAAATGGCCATTAAAATCATATTTATAAAGATATATAATGTGGAAAATGTGTGAAATTTGATGCTAAACTATAAAAAATACAAAATTAGACATACTCTATTATGTAAAATCTTGAAGAAAAACTGAGAAGATACGGAAATGATAATGACTTTTACGGGGGAAAATACACTTAAAATAGAATCCCACAGTTTTACGAAACTTTATGTACCACTCATTGCTAAATTACTTATAAAATACAGAAACCCACCATTTAAAATGAACTGCCAGGATGTAAATCTACCAGGTCAATTCCAAACACAATTAACAGAGGGAGCAATTTATGTGATTTATGTATGTTCCAGTCCAAGTTAAGCCAGGAAGCCTTTCTGCTCAAACACGACAAGGCGGAGAACGAGCTCGGAGTAGCCTGCACACTGTGGTGAACAACCTCTGCCAGCCTCATCATTCAGGTGGACACAGACCGAGGAACCTAAAGGACCACACAGTGGAGGTTTGGGGTAACCCCACGATAAACCTGGTGCTGGACTTCACTGTGAAGACTGGGAACCGGGGCTTCCACTGGCTTCCCAGTCCATTTTCCAAGATGTCCTCCTATGAATTTTGTGCTCACAAATAACAAATCCTGAAGTTGCCCAAAAGTGGCCTAGAAGAACTGACCCTCCTCTCCAAGGCCCCCCAGCTGTCGGGGGGAGAGCAGAGGACTGATGCTGCGGGAGCACTGGGCTCACACCACCTGCTCACTGGTCTATTTGCCTCCTAAGAGAACTCTATGGTTAGAAGCAAAAAATGGAGAAAAGAAAGGGAGAGAGTCACCTTTTTAAAACAACATCTCAGCGACGACCTCAGCACAGGTTCTGTCCATCTGCTCCTTGGTCAGCTCGAAGCACCTGCGGGCAAGCTGCTGCTGCGTGGCATCCTCACCCACCATCAGCTCCCCATAGAGGTAGATGCCCATGGCCTGGAGGGGCAGAGAGGCCAGAGAGTGTAAGAAAAGGCAATCGTCTGTGCGACAAACATCCTACAAGATGGAGTTGAGTAGCTCTAATTCTGGAATCTGCATTTTTCAATTCCCTTCTCTTGCCTCCGCGAAACCCCAAGGAATTCTTAGATATCAATTCCACCAGCAGCCCCCGGTGATTTAACTGGCCAGAGCGCAAGTGAGCATGTCTCTGGTGATGATCTTGTCAGGAAGGCTCTGGATAGAGAAAAAGGTCCCTACAGACCAGCATGGATAACCGAGAAAAGCACGGAGGTGGTGTGTGCACGTCACAGACACCAATCCGAAGAAAGCGAGTCCCTAGATGTGGCTGGGAAATGGAGACCACTATGTCATGTCGCAGCCATGGGAGGAAGAGCCATCATGTCACCCCAAGAAAGATGCCTGTTGCGCCAGCACCTCCTGACCCCTTTTCTCCAACTGCCCCACCACTGTGGTAAACACTGGCTCTTCTGTTTCAAAAACAATGCTGTCAAGACTCACATCTGCATTTTCCCTGCAGTTTTCAAAACAGCCAATTATGTTCTGGAAACCCAAAGCGCCCTTTGGTTGTGTCTCCTCCCTTGTTTCAAGCTCAGTTATGCTGCGGATTACATTCTGCTGGAGCAAATTAAAAGAAGGATCTCAAAGATTGCACAAGACAAAAACTTGGTAGTTATGGGTTCGAAATTCTTTCCTGAAAAAGCTGAGATAGGGATTCTTACTTGGCAAAGATCATGGTTCTAAAGAGACTACAGTTAATTTTGGTTTTCAGAGCAGACTTTAAGCTGCTCCTACATTTTGTCCTTCTTATACGCCCCTCTGTGTTTCCAAACTTCTCTTGCAAATGTGACATTTCTTCTGGTACAAAGTCAAGTATTTTTCTTTGTGGGAATAACGAGCCCTGACTTGCTGGCTCTCCCCTATACTCGAGTCCTGTCAAATGACCTTTTGTTTTCCCTACCCCCACTCTCCACCCCAACTGAAACTTGGCTCCATGCTGCCAGCCCACAGAGCTAGGCAGAAAGCTGCAGGCGCACATGGTCACGCAAACAGACTGACCGCCATGGCTAACAGAACCTGTGACACTCGGGTGCCACGCGGGGTGACATGCTAAGCACAGCCTGGCAGAGGCTGGAAGGCAGGCATCCCCAAAGTTGTTCATGCAGGCACATGCTTCTTGCTATACCCTTGAGGAAGTGAGCAAAGTTCAAGAACAGGAAGAGAGCTCGAAACAGGGGACTGGCCTTCGTGGCAGGTGCAGATACAGACCTGGACTGCTCCAGCCAGGTGAGGCTTTCTCTGTCCAATCTCACAGTTTTAAGTTAGGGCCACTGACAATTTGGAAACACATCAAGGCATCATTAAGTCACAAGGCTGGCCTGAGATCTGGAGAGGCCGTGAGCCTGTGCAGACTCCATTCCGTAAGGCAGTGGTCCAGTGAGTTTTATAAAAGCAAGGGAACTGAAGCACACAAGGGGTGCAATTCGATGCTTTAGTAGGACACTGAGAGAGCGAAGAAATCAGCTCTCATGTGTGCTATGTAAGTTTCTCCCAACTCCTTAAATATCTTTACAAATTGCTTCTGTATTTGTGATGCACGTATACCTGACAGGAAGGGACAGGATTTAAGGAATCCCCATCTGCTGAGAAATGAATCTCACCTGGTCCTCCTGAAGGAATCTCTCCACATCTTTGTACGCTTGTCTGTACTTGTGCTTGACAATGAGCTCACACCACCGGTGGCGAACCTTAAAAAATGAGAAAAGCCAGGAAGTTATGAACTGGTAGGTTTCCTTAGCCTAAAGAGTTCAATGATCAAGTCTTGTGTGTCTGGAAAAGTTACTCTCTGAAATATATTAACCTTGCTGTTCCTTTTAAATTTAATTTTAAATTAATTTCTTTTACAAGAAACGAAAAAAATGTCAGGCACCTCTGGGGGAGGTTGAGTGTCTGTGTCAGATCTTTTCATGTTTTTAAACACTATTTTGCAAGATAACAGATGAACACAAATGTATCTGGGAAATTAAATTCAAGTCTTTGCTGGGAGCCTTGTACTCAGCCCTGAAATTCAGGGTCAATGAAGGCATCTCCAAAAACCTAGAGTAGCTACTTTCTGCAAGAACTGATCTGGTTCAGTGCTGCCCATCATAATAAACACAGTACAGGCAGAAAGACACTGCCCTCCACATTCCTGAGAAAAGACAAAGGGTGCCTTCTGAGGAGTCTGGGGTGTCTGCCCGAGGGGGAAGGAAGGAGGGCAGACCATGTTCACACAGGTAGCTCCTGCAGCCCACCCACGTGTGCACCAAAGGTTTGCACAAGGCACTGAAGATCGACAAGCTCAATGTGGGTGCCACTAAGTAAGGCGACACTTTACTAAAGGTTTATCAGCAGGAATTTGCTAGGAAATCTTTCCATTCCCACGCAGGCAGACAGTACAGAAGTCTGACCCCAGCACTGGCAGCCTCAGCAGATAGAGAGGCACATTCTTTACATGGAGATTCTACCTGAATTTGGTTTTCAGAGTGCGATCTCAAGCCATTTTCCAAGGCATACCCAGCAAAGAGGATAGTATTTTATAGTTCATTCTTGGTTCAACATTAGCCATACATAAGTAAAAAGCCACCTCCCATCATTCTTTGCTTTCACTGCCATTGCAAGAGGCACACCCTTTGCAACAATCGGTTTGTGTAGTAAAATGTAATAAGCAATTTCAACATTTTGGTGGGGCCCCTGTAAATTATATCATTGCACAGGCCTGTACTCTCCTTTCATCTACTATAAATAGATTTACACACAACAATGAGGAATGAAGGGAAGAAACAAATCTTTTGAGAAAAATCCTTCCCCCACGCCACTGTGCACTCTGAGGTAGGGCGTTAACTCAGGGTTCCTATGGTAGCGCCCTTCGCTGTGGACAACTAGGCCCTTTGAATTTGGAAGGATAGGCCAGCAAACTTGACATCCAGCAAGGGTTTTCAGGTGTATGGTAATTAGGTAAGAACCTTGGGCCATCACAACAAAAAGGGAAACATATCAGACTAGACAGGTCTCGGAAACACATCTTCAACAAATGCTCTTTCCTCTACAGCCAACAGAAATTAACAAAAGGCCACAGAAAGGAAAGGCAGCTCCTAATATATTATTCATGGAAAGAACAAGTCACCAGCGCTCAGAGTGGCCCACTTATCACACTACACTGGTGAGAGGAAGTGGATGCAGCTCCAGGCTCTGGTTCAAGTACCAAAGGCCAAGGACACAGAGAGCCCAAATGGCCCCAGGACACTCCTGTCCTAGTTTATCTCCAAACTCATGGTAACCCCAGCACCTCAGACACCACCAGCCCTGTCCACACACTTGGAAGTGCCTTTTGCATGTGAACTTCACCAACATGGGTGCCAGTCCTGAGCCAGGAGAGTCTGGGTGATCTCAGTGCCACGGTGCCACGTGGGGCAAGCAGGAGCCCCAAGACAGCTGCTGTGCTGCTCCTTTGGGCTCTCAGAAATGGGCCTCAGGTCTCCCAAACGCAACATGGGAGTAACACCTTCACCAGCTTTACCAGGGCCGTGCCCAGGAGACCTCTACGGCTTCAAGGCCTGTTAACGACTGACGAGTCACACAGGGTAACCAACTCAGAGGACACCTTGGTAGTCCTTGTCATTTCGAAACTTGAGACGTTATATAAGATCTGATGATTTTGAGAATAGAGGGTTCAGCCTCTTGCTTTTTAGTTCCTACGCTCTCTTCATCTTCTGTCCACTTACAGAAATAATGAAGAATAAATTAGAGCCTATTTCCTAGTGGGCTCAAATGCCCCCAGGCAGGCGGGAGGCTGGGGTGGTTCCTTCGTAACCTTCTGAAAGTCCAGGAGATGGGTGAGAGAAAGAGGCTCTTTCACACACTATGAAGTCAGCATTTCCACTTCTCCTACTGTTAAACATAGTTTATTGTCACAATTCATAAATGATCTAGTTTTTCTGAGCCCTGAAAGCAAACATGGCCTCCAGGAAGTACAGACCAACCCCCCCCACTCCAATCCCTACTCTGGGGAGAGCAGAAAAAACAAGGCTTTTTGTTACAAAAGAGCAAAATGCATTTTAATATTTCAGCGACAGGATGTTTGCAAGACATTTAGAGATGCTGTATGAGGCCGAGAGCCTAACAGATATTTCTTGATTGTGCACAGAGTTCTTAACATCTTTTCCTCTGAAAAAAAAAAAGAAAATCCTGATATTGTAAACCCCTAAAGAGGACCCACAATTGGCAGGGCCACTTATCTCCACATGGAACAGGGGTTTCCCGAAAAGCTAGCAGGGGAGTAACGTTTGCTTCATTTCTTCCCAGTAACATCTGCATGCTGGACACTGATGCCCGGCACCCCTTTCCCTAGTCAGAGAAACTTAGAAAACCTCAACAAAGGCCGTCATGCTTTTCTGCAGATAATGGACGAAAAGCGACGTTCTCAGTTCCAGGCCAGAGTCAGAGAATTCGGAAGCAGGTCTCTTAAGAAGAAAGATGTTCATGCTGCCCATGTGCTCTTCTTTATTTTCTAGTTAAATAACGGGGCAGTAGTTGCCTGTCCTTTAACTCCCTCATTCAGACCCTGTACACAAGTGAACAGCACCTCCAGACAGCCAGCCTTGCCTTGCACACCATCCAGCCGTTCAGGCTGGAGGAGATAGGACAAGGATGAAAAGGGAGGAGGAGGCAGGGAGGGCAGGAAAAGAATAAGAAAGCTGCAGAAAATCAGAGAAGGGTCACTGGCTGGCAAACAATGCCAGCCTGCTTGGGCCAAGACAAAGGCAACCCCCTAACAGTCTGCTTCAGATTCCCTAAAACTGTGCAAAGCATTTTTGCACAGCAGCCTGTTACCTGGACAATGAAGAGTAACAAATAAAGGGGATTTAATCTGATTCCTCCCACCAAATCAAAGTCAAGCTGTGACATATACGTGTGCATACAGAAGCATGCACCCATAAATACTGCAGTTCAGTAATAACTACTTGAACTTGCTCAAGGGACACTGAGCAGAACACCGGTGTGGCGGCTATGAATTTGGGTGGGAAGAGTGCTAGATACTACACAGAAGCTGATTCATGGCAGACCCACGTTTGATGATATAGAACTAAAACCTGCAACAATTCATGTAACTGTCCAGATGGTGGGCCCTGGCCCCCAGCAGGGGCCCCCGCCAGGACAGGGTGAATCACCTGGGAGACCAGAGAGCCACCTGGCCTGGACAGCCAAATGGCCCGTTGTAGGAAACACCTGGCTGTGAGCTGACTTCAAGCTCACTCCAAGCACATTCACAGCAGGCAGGTCTCTGTGTGATAGGGGCTGGGGAAGAGGCGTGTGAGAGTGGTGTCCTGAACCAACACATGTTACACAGAGGCCAAAGTTTTATTGTATTCTCCCTCACTATATTTAACACCCTAATGCATTCTGTTCCTTTCTTTATGCTGGTTGAGGTCCTCCTAAACTGATTTCAAGACCCTATTGTGTTCTGACTCAGTGGGAAAACCTCATCCTTTCCCTGGGCTGGGTGTCAGAGCGCTGCTCTCTGGGGGCTGCCCTGGAAACTGGCTGAAGTCACCCAAGGCAAGTGTCAGGACAGAACTGCCACGTAGGACACGCCTGTCATCTTGGCAGAAGGAACCCTGTTTCTTTATTTCCTACTTTAATAGTCCTGCTATGTGTTGAATTTACAAAAATGGGAGCAATAACTCCAAGAAGTATTTGGCACCTGTCAGATGCCTGGCTCTCAGAGCAGATGGAAGGGCTAGTGTAGGACATCCTTGAAGGGCGGGGCCTGGGCTCACAGGGCAGGAAAAGGGGTGGGGGGGAAGGGACAAACAAGCCTGGGAACTAGAGGGGAAAAGGGAAGGCTCACAAGGGTAGCCTGGGTCTGAGATTCTCAGGGGGAAAAGAGCAGAGAAACAGGATCACCCACCCTGGGAGCTTAACCCAGGGCCAGGCAATGGGCATTTTCCAAACCATTTGTGGAGTAAGATGGAACAGGATTGCTAGTAGCAGCCCTGGGTGCATGTCTTTTCAGCCTTTTCAAGAAAAGGACTAACCTGACTGCCCTTTGAGTTCAAGTGCGCTGAAAATGGTGTCTGCCTTGCAGTCACTGATATTCCCACACCAGTGTCAGCTTCAGGGAACAAGTCCCATGACCAACGGCCTTGGTGATGTAACCATGGCCTTTATTAGGCCACACTGGGGCTCCCTCTCATTTCATTGCTCTCTCAGGAGAGAGAAGCTGCTAAAGGAAAAACCTATCCCTTACTCCAATCTCTTTCAACCCCCAAATTTTAGCACATCTAGAATCGCTTTCCTAAGCTCTAGATGGGGGTGGCCCTTTCTGTCAAGAGCCAGACAGTGAGCATTTCTGGCTTTTCCACCAGGCAGGGAGCTTAATGGCCTGGGCAGCAGTTGTTGATCCCGAGGGAGGCAGGTCACTTTTCACTCTGAACATACCAGCCTGTGGTCACAGAGCACAACGCGGGGAGCCCTCATGGGCAGGCTTGGGTGGTCCTGCCAGGAAATCAGGGTTGTTCTTTAATGTGGGGACTTTAAATCCTGTTCTTTTTCTGGGTGGATCAGTAAATTCCTTCTGAAATACAAGCTTCTCTCAGACACATGCAGACATAAGGCGCTGCGGTCAGTGGGGAGCAGACACCAGGAACCAGCACTCAGGAGTGGCAACATCCCAGAGCATCACTGCACAGATGTTTCCCTCTGGAAT